TCCTTCACAAATTACCGAAAATATAACAAAAGAAGAATTATCAACAAATAAATCAGAAGGCGAAGAAGAAAAAGAAGAATTATTTTTTATTGAAAAAATTAAAAATGAAGTTATTTTATGAATATATTTAAAAATAATATTAATTAAAATACTAAATTTTAGAAAAAATCGAAATTTTTATTTGAATTGGCAATTCTTTTTTTTATTTGAAAATAAAATCTCGGTTTTGAATCTCTTTTTATATTTTTCCCTTATTTTCCTTTTTGTTTAATTAATTTATAATTTATTATTATTGGAATAAATTTTAAAAAATTATCAAAGTCGAACCTCTCGAAATAGCAAATTTACTTTAGTTATTTTTTTTATAGTTTTGGAACGAAAAAAAAATTTATAGAATAAAACTTTTAAGAGTTTATACCATCTTTTATTAGTAAATAATTTTATTAATTCTTACGCTTCATTAATTCCCTTCTGCAGCACTTTAAGATTTAATATCAGAAAATAAATCAATTTCGCCTCACTTGGATTGAGATATACACCAAATCTGGTACTTCCTCCCTATTAATTACCCCCTCCAACGAGAGATTGAAACATATGAATTAAATAAAAAAATATTTTGAACTAAAAATATCTTAAATAATTTTAAATATTTTTTATTAGTCGGAGACTGTGTAAATAAATTTGGTTGTCTCCGTCAACAGTTAGAAATAAAAATACTTGAATTCCGCCATAATGCCTGCCGGGAGCTAAGCTTTAACCTCTCTCTTATTATATTAATTATTTTTAAAGCCATAGAATTTAATCTATTTTTAATGGTAAATACTGAAAAATAATCAATGATTTTATTGAATTATCGATAAAATTTTTTTTAATATTTTTAAAAGTTTTATTTTAAATATATTTTTGGTATCTGTAATTTCTGGTATCTGTAAATGTCTTTATGTCGGAGAAATATAAAGGAATATAGGGGAAGGATTAATTAAATTAAACATGGAGACTTGAAATTCGCAATATAAACACGTGGATTTTTGCCACTGTTTAATTTCTCTCTTTAATTTTTTTATTTATATCCAAAAAAACCCAACAAAATCCACATACATCGGAAGGAAAATCTTTTTCAAACCTTTTTTCACTCACAAGTTTCGACTTTTGTTTGCCTTAATTAAATATTTTAATATTTATAGTTTGTATTATTTATTTTATTTTATTTTAAACTTTTTCTTTTTAAAATTCATTATTAATTATTTAACTTTTTTTCCCCAAAAATATTTTTTTATATTTTTAGTTTTTTTTATTAAAATACCTAATAAATGAATATTAATCAATTAATTCTTTTAATATTTTATTTTTCTATAATTATTCAAAATAATATATTAGTAGTCAAGAGTAAATCTATTCTAACTAAAATTGGAGAAATTTTTACAAAACATCATTGTGACGACAAAAATAAAGAAAAAGAAACTACTAAAGGACGTAAATAATTTTAATTAAATATTAAAAAAATATTTTTAAATTTATATATTTTCTTGACAAAACTTTAAATATAATTTTAATGAAGTTAACATATGTATAATTTTGTAAATAATCAAGTTTAAACTCGATTTATTTAACTATTTTGCCGGAAGATTTTTAGTTTCTTTTCAAAAAATAATTTTTTTATTTTTTGTATTAAAAATAAATTTATTGAAGATAAATTAATCGTTAATATTTCTAAAAATTCAGAAAAAAAAATATTTTTAATTTAAAGCACAATACATTTCTTATGGCGCATTACTGGCAGATGCTATTCCTGGAAGAATATATTCTAAAGTATTGCCTTTAGCAAATAATTATACAGATCCTCGAGAATTATCCAAAACAACTCCTTCTCCAAATCAAAATTCAGATTATCGAGCAAAATTTCCAAAAGAATTTAAATTATTAAATCCGACAACAAAAAAAGTTGAAAAACTACAGAAAAAATAAAACAATAAAAAATTATTACCCATAATTAATTAAGAATTTGAAAGCTTTGAGAAAATTTTAAATAAATTTAAAAAATAGAATATTTTACTAATTTTAATTGTGTAATATTGACAATAAATTTTTTAAATTATTTTTGTATTCTTAATTGTAAAATAAATTATATCTACATACATATACCTGGTTGTTTATGAGAATTATTCAATATTTTAAATTTATTTAAGCCAACAACCAGCGTGTTAATTAATTTTACCGAAATTAAATTTAAAAAAGAATTATTATATTTTAAATATTTTGGCCAATTTTACCGAAATTAAAGAATCCATAGTGTCAAAAATATTTTTTAGAAAATCTTTTAGTCTGGCCAAACAGAGTAATGACTTCCAGGGAAATTTGTAAACTGCATATTGATGTTTGGCCGGACGAAAATTTCTAAAAAACGTTAGTCAAATAAAAGTTAGGTGTTTAATAATTAATATAAAAGCCAGTTATTACAAATTTGTAAATTCATACAAAAATCCAGGCATTTTATCATCTCAAAATCTACAACATTTCGTTTCTAGAATGCGCTTATGGTCAAAGTTATTTTTTTGTTTGAATTTCTCGTTCATTCTTCTGTTGCTGTTTCTTCCAGTAATTCTTTCCATCAATGAGAGTCGTAATTTGTAAGTTTATTTGCATCTTTATTCGGAAAAACCTAATTTACCTTTCCTTAAAGGAATAATTCGTCGGGCATAGAACCAAACGTTAACCTGACTTCGACCAAAATATCTCCAACGGAAACAACAATTCCGACGACCACCACTATTTCGACCATAACACCTCCAACTACTGCACAGACAAACACAACAACTCCGGCGAACACCACTGTTTCGACTACAGAATCTTCTACTGCAGAAACGAACAAAACAATTTCGGAGATAACCACCACAACTGTGGACCAGACGAATAAAACAAGTCTGGAGGTGACCAACAAAACTGCGGAACATGTGAACACATCAACTGCGGAGATATCAAACACAACTGCAGAACAAACAAACAAAACAATTCAGGCGATAAACACCACAACCGAGGAACATACAAACGCATCAATTGTGGAGAAATCAGCCTCAACTGCAGAACAGACGAACAAAACAAGTCCAGAAATAACCACTGCTAAATCTCCGAATGCGGAACAGACGAACAAAACAGCACCGGAGATAACAAATTCAACTGCGGGGCAGACGAACAAGACAACTCCGGAGGTAGCCACTACAACAGAGAAGAACACAACATCTACCACAACATCGTCTACAACAACACAGAAGAGTACACCTTCCACCAAGAAGACGCAGATAACATCAACGAAAACCGAATCAACAACGATCACAAAAAAGCCAACAGGAACTGTGTTGGAGATTACAACGTCATCGTCTAATTACTCAAAAACAGTGGAAACAACAAATAAAACATCACAGGAAAACAAAACATCAGAAAACTCGACAGTTTCTGGTGCATCAACGACAAACATAACGACAGCAGAAAATAATATTACAACAGAGATACCACCAACTTCTACAGCAGAAATAACCGAAACAATTTTCAATTCAACAATGTCAGCTTTTGGAGAATCGAAGACAACCAAAAAAACGAAGATAACAACAATTATTTTTACCCAACAAAAAACTTCAAAAATTTCAACAACAATAAATCCAACCGAAAAAGAAGAAACTACTCCAAATATTTACTTTTATTTAAGCATTATCTTTGCAATTATTATTGTTTTATGTTTAATCTGTGTTTGTTATTCATGTCGAAAAGAGATTTGTCAACTAAAAATATTTCGAAGATTTAAGAAAAATAGAAAAAGAAGAAAATTGAGGAAGAGGCTTACAAAGAAAATAGAATTTTCAAAATATGATTATGACCCAGAATTTTGTTATTTCAAACCCGATGATTTTAAGGAAGGTGGTCCTATGAAAATTTATAAACAATTAAAGGTAAATAGGGAGATTTTTGGAAGGATTTTATTTTTGATTTTTTTTATTTAGGTTCCATCAACTGCTCCTAAGAATGTTGAATTGGCTTCAGACCTTACAAGAATTAACATCAATTTTGAAAAGAAAATGTGTGTTATGTACGAAATTGGAAGTGAAATTGTCTGTTTAATTTTGAATGTTAAATATGTAATTTAAATTAATTTAAGGAAGTTGTTGTTGATTCGGATGGGGAAACTGTGGTGGAAGATAGTCCGCGTACTAGCTGGAGGAATACTTATATGGGGAAAATAAGTAGAGGATTTTATGAAAATGATAAACAAGACTTGGAGAAGTTGAATGGGTGAGTTTTGAAATAATTGAAATATTTTGTGAAGGGGAAGAAGGGGAGGGGTGTGGGGGAAGAAGGAGGGGAGGCCTGTCTCTTATTTAATTTTTTTTCTTTTTTTAGAGAAAGAGCAAATAAAGTGGATTCTGATGGAGAAAAGTTCAATGAAGATAAGGATTCTGGAACAAAAACTGAAGCAGATGACCAAGATGTTGCAACAGGAAGGGAAATGGAAAAAGGAGTTGAAACAGCAAAAGGTGTAGATACGGCAAAAATTGTTGATTTGAAGGAAGAAATTAAAGAAGTAATTGTTGAAGAGAAGAAAGAAGAAACGAAGAAAGTAATGGATGAACAAAGTAATTATGATACAAAAATAAGTAGTGAAGAACAGAGTACAGAAAGTACTGCTACTAAAAGAAGTGAAGAACAAAGTACTGATACACGAACAATTACTTTAGATCAGAGTAGTGAGGAAACGACAGAAGAGGAAGTTAACGATAATAATGATAAGGAAAGTAAAGAAGTAATAGGTATGGATGAACAAAGTAATTATGATACAAATATTAAAAAATAATTATGTTTATATATTTGTTTTTGTTGTATATGTTTTATAAATTACTTGGAAAATTAATTAGTGTTCTTTTTTTACCCCAAATATTTTAAATGCAATAATTAATTTTATAAATAAATATTTTTAATTACAAAATATTCAAATAAATAAATTTAAAATAAAATTATTTTTTCCCAATATATTCTCCAAATTTCCTTCTCTCTAATTTTACATAATTCCCTTAAAAATATAAATAAATAACTAAAATATTTAGTATTTTAAATACTTACCATACATTGGACGAATTATTAATTCTGAAGCAACGCGCATTTGGTCTGTTCTTAATTTTGGATAAACATTGAAACGACGAAAAATATTGGCAACAAGGGTTTTTTCTTCCATTAAAGCAAAACGTTGACCTTTTAAAATAAATAAAATTAATTAAAAGTCCCCCAAATTCTTTCTAAATAATTTTCATTTCGAAAAATTTTATTTTGTTTAAAAGCAATTAAAACTCCATTACCTATACAATTACGAGCTCCAGCACTAAAAGGAATATAGCAATAAGGATGTTTCAAATAATCTCCATTCACAAAACGTTCTGGATTGAATACTTTAATTAAGAAAATTATTTCTTTTAATATTTAAAACAAACTTTCAGGATTTTCCCAATAATTTGTATCCCTGTGTACCATTGAGGCAACAATGACTGCCTTAATTATTTAATTAAATTAATTTTAAATTTACTAAATATACTCCAGTTCCAGCAGGTAATGTAAAATCTTTTATTTTTACATCTTCTGTAAGTTGTCTAGCAATTAATGGAACACTTGGATATAACCTTTTTTAATTAAAAATAATTTAAAAAAAATTTTATTTTCAATCTCCTGTGAAAAGAGGATATCTACCTCAAAAAAAAGGAATTACTTTAATAATTATTAAAGACATTTATTTCACCTAAGTGTCTCTTTAAGACAAGCATCAACATATTTTAATTCAGCAAAATCATCAAATGCAATATCTCTGTCTAGATCAGGGCCTAATACTTCATCCAGTTCTTGTTGTAATTTAGCTTGTATTGCTTGGTTATGCCCCATTGAATGAACAAACCTTTTTTTAAAAAATTAGCTTTAAATTTAAAATATATTTTTCCCCAAAAATATATACTAATTAATTAATTTATAGAATTATAATTTATAAATAAATTTCTTTAATAATTTTTCCTAATTTTTAAATTCCCTCCCTCCTACCAATTTAAAGCAGCAGATGTAGTATCATGTCCTTCAAAAGTAAAAGTATCAACCTCTTCCTGTATTCCCTCCAAATCAATTTCATTTCGTGAATGCATATCCAACATTAAATCTAATAAAGCTAAACGTATCCCTCCCCCATCTTCTGCTTTTTTTTCTAACATTTTTTGAATTCCTCCAGCTTTGTCCATCATTTGTTTTCTTACAAGAATTGCCTTTTTTTTAATTAAATAAAAATATTTTAAAAAGTTTTTTTGTTTATTTGGATAAAATATATATTTAATTTTTTATATTTTCTATTTTTTAAAATCCTTACATTTCCTGTAAAATCATGTAAAGCCTTTACACATCTTTAAATAAAAATAAATATTTTTATAAATTTAAGATTAAAAAAAGATTTTTTTAACCTTTTTTGTTCTTTTCCATCACCAAATAAATTAAAAAGAATTTCTAGGTAATATTGAGGGCGGATTATTCTGTCTTGAATTATTCTCTTAAAAAATATTTTTTGTATTAAATTTAAAAAATGTTTTTAATTCTTGTCCATTAATAATTTTTACTTTCAATTATTTAAATTAAATTAATAATTAATTATAATCTTTAATTTTTCTTTTTTTCAAAAAAAATTTATAATTAATTTATTTTTTTACTTTAATTTTAAAAACAGCATTTAAATAATCAGTTTCAGTTCTTTGAGCGTCAATATTAACACCTAAAGCTGCTTCACAAATAATATCTAATGTACATAGACTAATTGTGTGAAAGATGTCATTAAAATCTTTAGAACCAATTAATTTGTCAAATTTACTGCAAAGAGTTCTTGCATGACGATTAAATATCTTTTTTTATTTGAATTAATTTAAATTAATTAATTAATTTTAGAAATTGTGAAGAATTTATAATTTATTAATTACACAAAAAAAATTATTAAAAAAAATATTTTTTGGTAATATTTTATAAATTTCTAAAAGAAAAAAATTTTTTAGTAAATTAAAAACAAAAACTAAAATCTTCTTAAAACTCAACTAAAAAATAATTCTAAATTTTGTGTAGTGTCTCTAATATTTTTGTCATCCAAATAATTTATTTTTTATTTTTAAAAAAATTTACCGGCATAAAATCTTTAAGAATATCATAATGAAATGTAGGCGTTAATAATTTCCTTCTAGGTCTCCATTTATTTGGTTTACTTATCTAATTTTATTTTTTAAAATATTTTTTTTTAATTAAGAATTACCAAAAGTCCATCCCCAATCCACGCCGAAAGAAAGGAATAATGATATAATTTATGTAAAACTTTATTTGAACTCAAAATAGGTTCACTCTCTTCTGCACCAAATATTATTACAAACGGAAGAGGGCCTAACCAAATACGTACCATTCTAAGGCCTTTCTGTTCTCTAAACATATAAGCAACACCTTGAGCTTGTTCAAAAAATTCTATTTTGGAAAAAAGTTTTTTTTAATGATATTAAATTTTTTTAATTGTATTAAATTTATAAGGTCATATGTATAATAATTTATTCTATACAATATTTGTCCTCTCAAAATAGATTTAAATATTAAAGTTTATCTAGATTAATGGGATTAATTAATAAATAATTTTTTATGTATTTAGCAAATTCCTTCCTTGTTTCCAATATTTTATCGAAATAAATGATTATTTGAAAACAGAACAATTGAGGAATTTTAATTAAGGTTATTAATTTTTACAAAAATAAATTTACCGTCAGGATTTAATCTAAATTGATGTAAATTTCCAATAATCGGCAAAGCTGTAGGTCCTTGTATTTTATCAATAAGACATTTAACTCTTTCATATTTTCGTAAAAACCAAACAAAAAACCAAGAAAAAATTATAGTAACAATTAAAATTCCAAGAAAAGACATTAAAAGATTCTTTTAATAAATAATTTATTTAAATATATACTAAATCAAGGTCAAATAATTTCTGCAAAATATATTGAATAAATAATTTAAAAAAAAAGAAAAAGAGAATTATTTATTTATTATTTATTAATTTCTATTAATAAATGATTGGAAAGGAATTAATGACAAACGGGATTGAAAAAGGGGGGAGTAAATACGTATATGTATGTAGATAGATGGCAATTTATTTGCTTTACTGGAATGCGCGTTTAAACAGAAAAATTCACTTCTCTTCTTTTTTTTTAATTTAAATTGTCTTGTACTTTTTTTTAAATAAATGTTTCATTTAAAATTAAATTAACTTTTAATTTGTAGTAATTTTATCTCTCCGTCTGGCCCCCTCCTCCCTTCTCTTTGTTTTCTATTTTTTCTAAAGATCTTAATTTTTAAAATTAAGTTTGTGTATTTATTCGGTACTTTTTGGATCTTTTACTTTCCTTAAATTAATTCGAGAAATGTCCTGTAGTATAGAGTAGGGTAGCTCCCCGAGCCTTCGGGATCGGGATTGTCGGTGACGGGGAGCTACTCTAGTATACATAGAATAATAAAATATGGTGAACATACTATAATGTTTATCTTATGTTTAGTATGTCGGATTTTGTTTGATACTTATACGTTTCGGGAACTTATCCGTTTATAGTATTTTTGTTTCTCTACACAAAATAAAAAAATGCAAAAAATATTCTACTATAAACAAGAAGCTATAAAATTAGAATTAGAATTATATTCACAAATAAAAGTTTAAAATCAAACAAAATATAAATATATGTAAACTACCAACAAATTTTGAAACATTAAATTAAAAGATTGGAAGAAAGACTATTTTCGAGAAAAAAATCTAATTTTTTCAAAAAAAAAAAAACAAAATAACCCGTCAAATTAAATTAGTGGAAAATTTAAAATCTGCGCAAACTTTTTTGGTAAATAAAAATATATTTATTTATGCTATTTAAAGATTAAATCTGATGAAGAACAAAATATGAGAAGAAATTTATTTTGATGGTTAAGATTTATATTTGTGTGTGCTTTGATCAAATAAAAATTAAAATTAATAAATAATTTTAATTTTAGCTTAATTCTATTTTAAAATATATAAAATAAATAGATGAATAACTATGTAGTAAATTAATTCTTAGCTAATTACTGCTACTGCTAATTTAATATTATTCACAACCAATAATTTAATTAAAACAAAAATAGAATTTAAATATTTATAAATATACAACAACCAACCAGAGGTGGGTCAGAATTCCGATTTCCAGAAAAAGTTTGATTTACGATTTCCAAGTTCCGACTTTTGAGCCAGTTCCGATTTCCTGTTCCGACCCACCTCTGCAACCAACCAACCAAAACAAGCAATATATTTAAATACAAATTTATTTATTTATGTAATATAATTAGATTCAACAACCCCTTCTTCTCCTCCATTTTCATCTTCCCCACCCTCATTTGTTTCATCAATTTTTAAATCTTCACTAGTAGCTTCAGTTGTATTATCAACAATATTAGCTTCATTCATTTCTCTTTGCGTATCTTTAATATTTACATCTTTTAATAATATTTCTGTTGCTTTTGTAGTTTTATCTTCCTTAATTTCAACAGATTTATTATTATTTCCTCCTTCTTTCTTCTTCTTCAATTCTTTCTCCATTTTCTTCATTTTTGTTCCCTTTTTATCTCCTTTTTTTGCCCCCTTTGGATTATCCTTCTTTTGATATTCCAAATCAGATAAAGATTTATCTGTTTCGAATTCTACCGATTTATCATCAAATTCTACACTCATTGTGTCATTTGATTCTTCGCTTAAAAGAAAAATATTTAAAAATTAAAAATATTTATTCCCCTTACCTTTCAGTTTTTTCCCTTTTCTTTTCCGTATAACTTTCATAATTCCCCCTTTTAATCTTTCCTTGATATGTATTCTTCCAACTATTTGGAGGACTATACTCCACCTTTTTACCTTCAGAATCAACAACCATATCCTTAAAAATAAATATTTAATAAAATAATATTTAATTATAAATTTAGTTTAGCTTAATATTTCCTTTAAAATACCCCCAAAACATTCAACAAACATTTAAATAATCCCAAACATCTCTCTCAAAAAAACTTACAAGTTCACTCCCAACTTCATAAACAACCAAAAGCTCATTAGTAAAGTTGACTTTTAAGCCTTTAGTATTTTCAATTTCTTCATTCAAAGTTTCCTCTTCAGGTAACTGAAAAAACAAAAATCTTGTTTTTTAAATTAAAAATTCTTTTCACCTTAATTTGTTTTTTAATTATTATCGGTTCTTCTTTAATAGCAAAATCTTCTCCTTTAAAATAGACAAAAGTAATGTCTCGGTCTTCATCAGAGAATGTTTGCTTTCTAATAATCTTCAACTTTTTAGATTTTCTTAGACGAGAAATACATGGAAGACTTTTTAAATCCTCCCAACAGCAATAGCAACAACAAAAACAGAAACCCAAAATTACAAGAATTACTACGACAATAATTATATATTTTAAAGAATTTTTTTCTTCTTTAGGGGAATTTTTGGTTGTTTTGTTGGTATCCGTTGTCGTCACTTTTGTTATTCCCTTTGTTGTATTTGTCGTTAAAGTAATCTTTTTTGTTGGTTTTTGTGTTGGTAGCCCCGTTGTTTCTTTTTTAACTTGGGTAGTTGTTGAATTTAATGTTGATTCCATTTTGGTGGTCGAAGTGGTAGTTATATTCAGATTTGTATTGGTCGTATTCCCTGTTGTCTCGGTAGTCACGTTTTGAGCTGCTGATGTTCCATTAACTGTTGTTGTAGTCTTTCTAAAATAATTCTGAAATTATTTATTTTTTAAAAGTTCGTTAAACTTACTCAGCAATAACTGGCTTAATTGGAGCCTTTGGTTTCGCTTTTTTGTTGGGGTTAACTTGACCACTATCAGGAAAAATAACCGTTATTATTTATAAAACAAAATTTAAATAAACTTACGGCTGCAAAAGAATCAACAGCAAAACGAACGAGAACTTTAAAAGGAAGAAGGATTTAGACCACAAACGCATTTTAGAATTGAACTGAAGAAAGTAGACAATTTTTATATTTTGATTGGGTGTTTAAATTAGTATATAGAAATTTTTGGCTTTTATATTACAGAACTCTTTCAGATAAAAAACCTATCAACGTCTCTTTTTCAAATCAAAATTTTAAAAAATTTTAGCATGTTCAGTTTTAATAATTTTTCATTTTTCTATACAAATAATTAAAAGATAAACAATAAAATTTAAGCAAAATATATTTACAAATTCATCGAAAATTAATATAAATCATCACACTCAAAATATTTTTCTTTCACCGAGAAATTAATTTTTTTTTAAATTCTAAATATTTTTTCCTTAATTAAGTAAATGCCATTTATCTAAAGTTAATCCCATTCCTTGTATCATTTCTTGCCAATGTGCTTGTGCATCTGCTGAAGAAGAGCAATCATTTTCTCTTCTATCGCTCAGCATTAAAGTTCCGATTTTTTGTTTTCGACGTAATAAAGGAGGCCAAGCACTATTATTTAGACCAAACATGTCTACTTGGACGGCACATTCTTCCAATTCGTGACGAGAAATTTGGAAGCTTGCCTAAGGAAGAAGAAGAAGCTTGCCTTTATTTTTTCTTTTTACCTGTGCATCGTTAAATTGAACTTCTCCTGTGGGGTTAGCTTTTGTCCATGCTGATTTTTGTCTTCCAATCTCTACGCCTTCAGCAGAAAAGGCACTAATACGAATGGAGACTTCTTAAATTATTTTTTTAATTTATAATATTTAAATAATTTTTTCGGAAAATTTTTTCCTTTTTTATTTCCTAATTAGGCAAATACCTTGCCCAGAAACATCACTTCCACTTTCCTTCTTTCTGCCAGTCCCGATGGCTGCTGCTTTATTGACACCAACAACAAGCCTATTTTGTGTATCAAAATAGCAAAGAGATACTAACACCTTTAATTAATTTTTAATCTTTAATTTAATTTTTTTAATTATTTCATGTACTAAAATATTTACAAATTTTTAATATATTACACATTTTTTCTTCAAACAAACAAATTACTGTTTAATTAATTACCTCAGGTTGATTACCTCCTTGCTGAGGTAAAGTACAAAAAGCACCTCTATCATCTACTGTTGACCCCCTTCTACTTCCAGAAGCACTTCTAGGTGTAACAGATTGTTGGGAATTATTTCCACAAAAACGTTGGTGGGAAGGGGAAGAATTTGTAGAGGATTTTCGTTGTTGTTGATTTTCAATAGGAGAATCTGTTGAAGTATTGTTATTTTTTGTTGGAGAAGAAGGGATTGTTTGTTGCTGATTTTGTTTTAGTTGGTGGTGGTTTTGGTGATTGGATAAAGATAATAAAGAAGGAAATAGAGACATCTTAATTTATTTTAAATTTTAATTCTGGATTTTTAGAAATTAAAAGAATTAATTAATATTTATTTTTAATTTGAAAGGTATTGTCTCCTCAATCAAAAATCCTCAACTTTATAAAAGAATGAGGGAAGACTCCCCTTTCTATCAGTTACCCCCAAGAGGAAAGAAAAAAGAGAAAATAATGAACAAATTAAAAACTAAAAATAGAGCTGGAAAAAGTTTTTAAATTTATGAGCCCCTATTTAGTATTTAAATAAATTTTAAATAAAAAATTTGGGGAATAAAAAATAGAGCAATTTTAAAGTTTAATAAAAATTTTAAAAAGTTCAATTTATCTTCTAAATATTTAATTAATTTATTTTTAGAAAATACTAATTTTGTTTATATGTTTCTAAATAAATTTTTATGATGTATTTTATTGTTTTAAATTAAATTAATTTAAAATTTATTTGCGAGAGAGAATAATGAAAAGTATTAATTTATTTTTATTAAGAGAGAGTTATCCAGAGGGAAAAAAAGGAAAAATCTAAAAAAGAGGTACTTAAATTAACAAAACTGTTAAACAAAAATTTAACAATTCCCAAAATTACCTAATTAATTTAAATATTAAACGATTAATTTTTGGTTAATTTAAATAATTAAGAATTCTACGCGGAAAATTTAAACTAAACCATAATTCTAGAAAGTAAGGAATTGAAAGTGTGGTTGCAGAAGAACATGTTTCATGTTTTATGTTTTGTGCTGTGAAAAATTCAATGAAAATTTACTGATATGATGGGAATTAGCTATAATTAAAGGTAGAGATCAGAAGATATATCGCTATTCTCAACACACATTTAAAATACTAACAAGCATCTTAAATTTTCTAATAAAAATAATTTTTTGAAGGAATAAACATTGAATACTATAATAAATGTGTTAGTCTATTTATCACTCAAAAATTATCAAAATAAATATTTTCTTGTCCCAAATTTTAAATTTTTATTAAACCAAAAATAACTGCGGGAAATATTTTTATTTCTTTTGTTATAAATTCTTTTTTTGGTTCCATTTAAAGGAGTTATTTTTTTAATTTTAAATAAATTATAAGAAAAAACTATTTATGTATATATTTTAGTTATTTTTTTGCAAAAAATTGCCATTCAAAAAATAAAATTTGTCTACTAATATAATTTCCTCTAAAATCATATATTTATTTATTTCACTGAGAGGCGAGATATTATATAATAGTTCTGAATAGTGTCTCAAGAATTATTTAAAAAAAAATTTCTTTATTTTAGAAATAAAGTCAAGAAGCCTAGATATCTAGCAAAGACTTTCAAATAAAAATGATATTTTGTGTATATATTTAATCCCAAAAAGGACTAAAGAACATAAAATTTGGCAATGCTTTTAGAAAAAAAGAGAGGAGGGGGGAAGTGCTATTGTTCAAGAAATAAGAAAAAATTACTTTCTTTTTTCCTCAACTTTAAAAGAAAAAAGAAGGGGAAGGGGAGGGGAGGGAGGATTTGGTAGGGAGAAAGGGAAAGAAAATATTATTTTTGGAATGTTCGTAGTAAATATTGGCCCTGCCAATTTTTTCTACTGCTAATTTTATTAAGATCCAAAAAATGTGTAGGTGGAAGGAGAAAGAAAGGAATGTTTTAAAAGACTTTTTCTTGCGTTCTTGGAAAGCTTTAAAAATTTTTTTAAAAAGAGATTTTTTTTATATTTTCACATTGAAAAAGAAAATGTGTCAAATACAAATTAAATCGTGACAATAAAAATTGTGTTTGGGAATATTTTATAATTATTTATTGAAGAAAAAGAGATAAATATTTACTATTAAAAAAGTTGTTTAAATGTTTGGGGTAGGTAATTGGTAGAAGAAATAAATAGTATTAAATTTTCTTAGATTTTTCAATAATTTTAAAGAAAAATAAAATATTTTTATTTAAAATAATTATTTAAATAAATTCATGTTTGGAATTAAAGTTTGAAAAAAAAAGAAATTTTTGTTAAAATTTTTTTTTGAATTTTAATTTTTATATAAATTCAGAAAATATTTTAAATGAATTTTTGAATTCAAAATTAATTTTTTAAATAAAAGAGAGAATAATAAAAAGTACAAATTTAGAAAGTAAAAAGTTGACGATAAAATGTGAATAAAATAAAAAAATATTTTGATGGATTGAAGGATTCTTTTGGCACAAAATCCTTTCATTATTGAATTGGGGGAAAATGAAACTTTTTTAATGACGAATGAGTAAAAAACTATTATTTAAAGAAATCTTGAAAAATTAATTAGAAATAATTTTTAAAATATGATATCTATAAAAATATTTTTTAAAAATTTAATTAAAAATAAAGTTTTCTTTGTTTTTTTTTTGTTATATTTTATTTTTATTTCTAGAAAATAAGTATTTTGGGAAAATATTTTTATTTACAAATTCTTTTGGTTGGAAATGATGTTATTTTTTGTAAAACATTTGAAAATAAAAATATTTAAAAGAAAAAAGGAGAATTTAAAGTTAATTAATGATTATGTATTTATAAACAAAAAAATAACAATAACTTACACTTCCTTTAACAGATTTTGGCTTATTTAGAGGACATCGAAACTGTAAAAAATGTTTTTGCATTTTTTGTACAGAATCCAAATCAATCTTTTATTTAAATAAAAATTAATTTAAATATTTTTAATTTTACCAAAAAATTTTGAAGAAAAGCCAATCCAATACATTGAGGACGGCGAATATCGTTAGAGTATTTTTTATATAATCTAAATAATTTTTTTATTTAAAATTTTTAATTTAAAAATTACCTAAATCTGACAAAAGAATTGGCTAATTTAGCTAAAAAAAATATTTTTTATATAAAAATTAAATAATAATTAACATTTATCACAGTTAAAAGCAAATGTTTCTCCAAAATTTATTTTTAATTGTCCTTCAAACGAACGAAATTTTGTTCGAAATTTTTGAAAAGTTTTTTGTTCAGAATCGGGAATTAAAAGGGCTAAACGAAGCTAGAAATTAAAAAAATAAATTATTTTATTTAAATTAAAATAAATTTATTTTTTACTTGTAACATCGCCCTTTCCTCATTTTGATTTTCAATTACCCCCAAATCTTCTAATCTCACCAATTCATTTAATATCAAAATTAACTATTAAATTTAAATTTAAAAATATATTTTATTTTTAAATTTAAATTACAAATTCTTTTTGTTCACTATATTGAACAGAAAGGCAAAGTTGAGCACAAGATTTGCTTAAAACTTCATTTTGATTGTTGGCTATTTCTTTATTTATTAAAACAACAGAGCTATGCCTGGCTTTCTAATAAAAATAAAAAATATTTTTCTTTCAAAATTTGACTGTAAAAATATTTTTAATTGAATAAGTACTCTTTTAATTTTCCATTTTTCTTTCCCTTCCTCCTCTTCCTCATTTTCTTCTTCTTCTCCTTCAGTAATATTAATTTCAGAAGGAAGTGTTAAAGTAACTTCTTGTTCTTCTCTCGAATGTTTTGGCGTATTAATTCTTTCAATTATAATTTCTGGTGCTGGGAATTGTTTAATTGAATTTGTTAAGTCTATTAAATAAAATAAATACTTTAATTAAATTAATTTAACTAAACTATAATTTAAATTATTTTGTTTTTTTCTTCCTTCAATTTTAACAAATTCATCATCATCCCCAATAATTTTATTAGATCCAACATTCTTTTTCTTTAACCAAAAACGATTAAATAAAGAATTCATTGGCCAACAACGAGTAAAACAATTACCAAAATTTGAAAACATTCTAATAAATTAATTAATTAATTTTAAAATTTAAAGAGTAAATTTTTTAATTAAAAAAAATAAAACAAAAAAAAAAGATTCTAGTGAGTTGAAGAGAATTTTTTGGAAGAAATTAAATATTTTTAAAGGTTAATTGTAAAAAATTTTTTTGAAAAATGAGACAACAAACTTTTTGTAAACTATCGAGCAGTGCTTCGAAGCTCGTACCAAAATTCGTACTCGTACCTCGTACTCGTACTCGTACCTGGTACGAAGTACGAGTACGAGTACGAGGCCAAAAAAAGTGAAAAGTACGAGGTACGAGGCCTAAGTACAAGCTCGTACTTCTCGTACTTGGTGTTATAGGAAAATTAAAGAAATATATTTAATTCCTTTCATTGTCCATTATACGAGCGGGTGGCATTGGTGAAGGTGCGTGGCTGCACCATAGTAATTAATGATTTAATATTGGGTTCGATTCCTATTCAATGAACAATGAATTTTAATATTTTTCTTTTCATAAATTTTATAAGTTTAATTTTGTTTTAAAAAGTATTTTATTTTTACTTGGAAAAATTATGGGTTTTTGGCCCTCTAAAATTCTTAAAAATTTTCATTGTACCATTAAAAAGTGAGTATTCTTCGCCTACGGCCTTCCGGAATTTTCAAAATTTTCGCCTGCGGCGCAGAAAGGGATTTGAGCTTTAGAGGGCTATCAGGAGATATAAATGTGAAAAGTTCGGTGAAAAAGGTATAAAGTTCCATGGAAGAGAATGAAATCGGATGAAAAAATACCGAGTTTCGGGTAACCTCTTGGAGGAAATATTGCTCCTTGCACTCCAAAATGCCCAAAAATTTTGCCTGCGACGCAGAAAATGAATTATATTAGAGGATTTATGGCTTCAAAGCCTTCTAAGATTCAAAAATTATCGCATAAACGCTTAAAATTTAAAACTAGATGTCCTGGACTCAAAAAAATCATAAAAATTTTAAATTTTTTGATTTATTCTCAAGTACGAGTAAGTACGAGGTATGAGTACGAGGTACGAGGCCAAAAAAAGAGGTGGTACGAGGTACGAGTACGAGTACGAGCAAAAAAATGGGGGTGGTACGAGGTACGAGTACGAGGCCAAAAAAAGAGGTGGTACGAGGTACGAGTACGAGTACGAGCAAAAAAATGGGGGTGGTACGAGGTACGAGTACGAGGCCAAAAAAAGAGGTGGTACGAAGTACGAGTACGAGTACGAGCAAATTTGAAATTTCGAAGCACTGCTATCGAGTCATAATAAGATACTAAAAATAAAATATTAAAAATAAAATCTCAGTGAGGTGAGACTGATCTCAGTAAAAATAAAGAGAAAAGAACTCAAAAATTAATTAGAGAAGTAAAGTTTGCTAATAACCCTAATCTGTATCACAAAATATTTGGAAGTCCTTTTAAAAATTAACCACTTAAAATTTTAATAATTTCCTTTTTCTGTTTAATTAAACACACAAAAACAAGAAAGAAATTTTTTCCAAAACAATTATTAAAATTACTTTGGCTTAGAATTCTTTTTAATATAAAAAAAAAATAACTACATACATACAAGGTAAATAAATATTAATAAAATATTAATATTTATTTTTGTTTTTTGCTTAAAACAAGTACATACAAATTGGCACTTTACTTAAATATAAATAAAAAATAAATGTTTGGAAATATTATTGACAATTTTATTGATGCGTAAATGAATGGGTATATAGCCTTCCAAAAATAATTTTAAAAAACTTTTTTTTTAATAAAAAAATTTTTTTACCATTTTAACATTGCTGCCTCAATACAAATTTTTAAAATTTTTTTATTTAATTTTTAGCTTTTTGAATTTAAAAATAAAAGAATTGAGAAGCCGTAGGCGGGAAAGTGAGACAGTCCTCTTATAAACAATAAAAGCTAAGAATACTCAATAAAAGAAGAATTGCAATTCCGGAAGGAAGGAAATAAAAAAAGAAAAGAAAAAAGAATAAAAGAAATACCACCAAGAATTCTTTTTCTTGATTTTTGGAGAAGAGAAAAGTTGAAAAAAATATTTGACAAAAAAATTAGTTGAAATATCAAGAAAGAATTAGTAGTTAAAAAGTGAATTTTTTAGGGAAAAAAGAAAAATATTTTTAAAAAAATATAAATTTAAAAAAGGTTAAATTTAAATTGAATAATTATTTATTGGTTACCTTAAATAATCCTTTTAGTATTTTGGTGCTAATTTTTAATCAAAAAGTGTCGAGTTTTTAGTTTTCTAATTATATTCAGTCTAATTCAAAATATTATGAGGTGATAAACTAAATATTTTTTTGATTTTATTTTTTCTTTATATTATGTGTCAATTCCTAATTTTTCAACAAAAAATAAACCAAACGAAAAATAAAAGGAAAAATATAAAATTTAAAAAAAGTGCATTATGCTTTACTGGTTTTTAAATTTAAAAAAAAAATAATTTTTATTTTATTTATTTAAAATTTTAAATATTTTTTAAAGAAATATTTATTGCTTGAATATATTTTTATTTTTTTTACAAATTCTGAATAATTTATTAATAAAAAATTGAATTTAAAATATATTTCTTTCTGACATAAATAAACAAAAATAACATATTTAAAAATAATTATTTAAATTTATTAGCTTTATTTAAAAATTCTATATTTTTATTTCTTTTTACCGCACCTATTTACTCGCCTTAATAACGTGTGAATGATTATAAATAATGGTTATTTTTAGAAAAAAACACGGCACCATTAAAAATAAAAAAATGTCAATAATTTAAATAAAAATATTTAAGAAATAATATTTTTAAATTTATAATAAAAAATTTCATTTAAATTTTCATTTTTTTCAAATTACAATAATTTATTCGAATAAACATTTACTACTTCATAATAATTTTTTCCAAAAAAATCATAAAACTTCTTTTTTAATTCATCTCATTTTATATTAAAATAAATAATATGTAAGAAAACAACTTTAATATTCTATTATTATTTTAAAAAAACTTATTTTTTTAATAAACTTATTATTTAAAATTTTTTTATTAATTTTTAAATTATTATGTACTTTTATTAAAAAAAAATTATTTAATAATAAATTAATATATATTTTATATACATATAATTGTAAAATAAATTAAATATTTAATGTAAAATTAAAAAAATTATTAATAAATTTTCCTTTTTAAATTTCTTTTAAACTAAAAAAATTTTTAGATTAGTTTTGGAATTATTTTGATTATTAAAATTAAATAATCAAAACACCTATTTTCTAGGCAATTATTTTCCAATTTTTAGTTTTAATAAAAATGAGGAAAAGAAAATTTAATAATTAGTAGATTATGCTTAAAAAAAAGATTTAAAGATATCAATTTAATCATTTAAAAGTACTCCATTAGTTAAACAATGTATTGCTGTAATACTTGCTTTTGCTGGTTCAAAATTAGATTGTAAAGAAAGTGTTGAATAATAAAATTGAAGAGCATGAGGGAAATCGCCAATTGTTGAATAAACGTTAGCTAAGGTAAAATGGACCTTTAAAAAAACAAAAAAAAAGATTCGTATCTAAACTTGACTTACAGCAACAATATTTTTTCCTGTTTTGAAAGCTTAAAATTGAAAATTTTTTTAGAATATCCTTAAATAGTATACCTTTCCCTAATGTATATAATGCACTATGAAGAAATCCTGCTTGATGGTAAATATTGGCTAAACTAACTAATGGGACATCCTAAGAAAAAAAATAAATAATTAAAAATAATTTTTAAATTTGAAAAGGGTCTTTTCCATTTTTTGGAGGAAGGGTTTAATTAAAATATATTTAAATCAGCTAAATTTAATATTATTTGAAAGTTTAAATTCTTTGTTCGAAAAAGACTTTTTTCGACTATTTTTGACTAAAAAAGAAAACCTACAATAAATTAAACCTACAATAAATTCATTTGGAGAATTATATAAAGAATGTCGAAGGCATTTAATTGAATTAAGTGGATCTCCTTTTATTCTCCAATAAAGACTTGAAATTGTTCCTAAAACAAATTCTCGAATGGAAGAAATTGGTTTTGAAGAAGAAACTTTAATTTAAAAATTTTTAAAAAGATTTTAATTTATTTTACCCGATGGATGCATTGCAGCACCTTTTAAAGCAAAAAATAATTTAGCAGAAACTCTCTCAATACTATCTAATTTTGATGAACCAATTGAACGAAATGTCTAAATTAATTAATTAATTATTGTTTTAATCTATATTTACATCTCTCAAAGCTTTTTCTGGTTTATAAAATTTCGTTAAATGTTCTCGATAAAGATAAGCAGGTAATTCGTCTAATTCTAAAAGGATTGAAGAAGATTGAAGAACTAAAGTAGGTTCTGGACATTCTGGCTCTAATAATAAATCTGCCAATTCTGGTAATTCTCCAAAATTGAGCAAATCGTCGACCTAAAGAAAAATAAATTTTAATAAAAAAATAATGAAACCCCCCACCTTAATTCCTTTTGCCGATGGAGATACCCAAGTAGAGACTGGTTGTTCAAATAAATGATTTAGCTAAAATTAAAACGGAACTTTATATTAGAAAAAATTTAATAAGTTTACTTTTTTCTGTGTTTGACAAATTTCTTTAAGAGAATCACGTTTAAAAGGTAATGCAAATTGTTTGCCTTTATTAACCATTAAAGATGGAGGGACTGGCAATATCTTTTTAAAAAAATAATATTTTTTTTAATTTCAAATTAAAAATACTTCAGGTAAAGGAATATCTAATTTAAAGAGCACTTCCCCACGATTGGAAAGTGTTCCCAAAAAAGTTCCATCAATTTGAGCGCGTGAAGATTTTAAACGTTTAGATTGGTTATTAAGAAATGATGAAGTAACACCATCAACGACAATTGAATCTGATACTTTTGCTAAATTAAAAGAGAAAATTAGTAATTTAAAGAAGGAGTCCTAAAATTTTTAAAGGAAGAAAAGAGGTCTAAAGTTAAAAAAAGTAGTCTTAAGATAATTAGTTAAAATTGGGATTTATTAAAAAGTAGAATTACAACAAATCTAAAATCTACAAACAATTGAGGTCTAATTCGAAAATAAGAAAATATATTTATAAAAATATTTTTTACATTTCTCCTTTGTCATTTTAATATTATTTTGTTGTTTTGTTTGTTTCTTTTTATTTCCCTTATTTTTCTTCTCATTATTATTATTCTCTGTCAACTCATTTTTTAAATATTCATTAAATATAGTTTCATCAATTGTTGTCTTTTCTACTAATTTAATTTCTTTTGTTAATTTAAATTCATTTTGTCCATTAAAAATATTTTCATTATTTATTGGAGGTTTAAAATCAATTTGGAATTGATTTATTTGCTCTTTAACTCCCTCTGGCCATATTGGTCGTTGATGGGCACGAATACGGTCGAGAGAGTAACCTCCATAATCCAAGGGGAACTTAAATTAGAAAAAAGTTCTCAAATAAATTTTTAAACAATTAAATGTCCAAAAAGCCCCGAAAAGAGGCCAGAATTTAAAATTAAAATAATTTCCGAACCACCGGGGATTCTTCAATTTTATGTCTATCAACCACTTTATGTGCAAGTTCTGCTTCCAATTTTTTAGCAAAAATATCCTCTTTAATTTCTCTAAGTTTTGCTTTAAAAATATTTTAAAAATATTCCCCTTTAAATAAACAAACCAGCAGGGAAAAGTAAAGGAACAATAAATCTGGCAAAAGCTGGGGCCAAATAACTTTTTCCCTAAAATTTTTTTTTAATTTTTAATTTAAAAAATTACAATGTAAGGAGTATTGCATCGAAAATAAATTAATTTAATATTAAATAAAGGACTTTCAAGTAAAGGTTCTGGTCTATAACAATTTATTGTTTTCTCTTTATTTTTTGTTGTTAATTGTTTAAAACAAAATATTTCTTGTTCATTAGGCCAGCAACATAAAGGAGAATAAATTTGTTTAATTGAAAGTTTTGGTTTGGAATAATTCTGATTTTTAAATAAAAGAAAATAATTATTTTTAAATTTAAATTAGATTTTTAGAATTGGGGAAAGAAAAATTAGAAAAATAAAGTTTGTAAAAAAACTAAAAATCCTCAGTTTTACTAAAAAAATTTCGTAGACTTTTAATTAGAAAATAATCTGTATACATATAAAACTCTTTAAAAAATGTTTGGGTTTATAAACAATTTAAAAAATTTTTAAATATTAAATAAATTACAATTATTCTTTTTGAACATTTTTTGAACAGAAGCATATTTAATGATGGTTTAAATTTAGGATCTAATTCCAATGCTTGAAATAACAATTCTAATAAAATATTTAAAAATTAGTAAATTTAAAAAGAAGAATATACTTTCTGAAGTATGTAAATTGCCTTTTAATTGATAGAAAATAGCCATTAAATGATATGGAATTGGCTGAAATTTAATTATTATATAAATAAAAAGAAATTTTTCGCTTTTAGCCGATCATTTAATGTATAAATTTAATTGAAATATATTTTTAATTATTTTAACCAAAAAATTACTTCATTAACCCCACTATTCATTGCAATACTTAAAATTCTCTCTAAACCATTCAACTCATTTTGATCAGTTAACGAATAATTTGAAAGTAAAATAATTTGTGCTAATTGTGTCAAAGCAATATCTTCAAATTTTGAATATTTAAGGGCTAATTCAATACAATTAATTGCCTTTTTAAATTTAAAAATTAAATTAAAAAAGAGAATTCAAAGAAAAACTTCGCCTGGAATGCCAAGATAACGAAAATATAAAGCAGCTAAATTAAATGTAAGCCAACGCGGTCCGATATTCTAGAAAAAATAAATTAAAAAAGATGAAAAGTAAGAAGGTCATAATAACCAATCTTGTTTTCTCTCCTTTTGTGAGAAGATTGAGTTTTGAAAGTTTAACAAACATAAATTTTTGATTAAAAAACATACAAATTTTAATAAATTCCCAATACGTTGACCTATTTCTCTGATTAAAGGTTGTTGTGTTTTTCCATTCCAATCATTATCTAAATTATAACCAGCCAATCGAAATATTTCATTTTTTAATTTATGTTCAGAAAATTCATCAGATGGGGTAAAATAACCAAATTTTAATTTTTGAAAAGAATTTAACTGAAATCTTTTTTATTTTTTTTGTTTTTTAATTTACAAACATTTTCAATAAATTTTAGCTTTTCATCTAATAATAATCCAGTGTCGTTGTATAGTGTACAGGAAGGCAATTTCCAAGGTAATGGGGTTAATTCGCCATCTTTAATTGCCAAATATTTGGTGAGTAAATCGGAAACACTTTAAAATTATGAATTTAAAAGTTGTAAGTTATTTTATTGGAAGACGTAGTCACAACTAATAGTGAGAAGATAATGAACGAGATATCTAGTAGAGCCCTAGAAAAATGAGATCAAGAGAACCGCACAGAAATTAAGAACTTACGACAGAATAAAAATTTAGGATAGAAAAAAACATGGAGATAAAGGGGATAGGGAGATAAAGAGAGATAAAGGAGATAAAGCAATAACAAGATAGAGAGGTATATGAGATAAAGCAACAACAGCTTTTATACTATTAGATTCAAGCCTGCTTTTTTCCCTTCGAAACATTCCAAATTTCAGTATAAAAGCAGTAGTAAATCTTAGCTCAATTAACAACACACACAATCAACTTCTCAACCGTTCACGACAACAGCTTCAACTTCACAAGTCAATGGCACAATCTGCGTACTTCGGTGGCGGTGGTGCAGCTGGTGGAGGCGGCGGTGGTGCATCTGTCTACATGGGATCTGGAGCCGGCGGTCCCCCGAAGCAACCTGCAGCTGGAGGCGGCGGTTATGGAGCTGCTGGTGGAGGTAATGCGTCTGTCTACATGGGTGGTCCTGCTGGTGGAGGCGGAGGAGCCGGTCAACAGAGTGCCTACTTTGGTGGACCTGCTTCGGGAGGAGGTAAATAATTATTAATCCTAATGATAATAACAGATAATTTATTTTTATTTAAGCTTCTGCTGTCGGTAGGTCTGCGGGTGGAGGAAGTGCTTTCGGAGGCGGCGGTGGAACCCAAACGGCTATGGTTGGAGGCGGCGGTGGCACTCAGACTGCAATGGGAGGATTTGGCGGCGGCACTCAGACAGCTCTCGGAGGGATGGGCGGCACCCAGACTGCTCTCGGCGGCATGGGAGGCACTCAAACTGCTCTCGGAGGGATGGGCGGCACCCAGACAGCTCTCGGCGGGATGGGCGGCACTCAGACAGCTCTCGGCGGAATGGGCGGCACTCAGACAGCTCTCGGCGGGATGGGTGGAACCCAAACGGCGCTTGTTGGCTATGGCGGTGGAGGCACCCAAACGGCTCTTGGCGGAATGGGAGGTACTCAAACTGCTCTTGGAGGCTTTGGTACGCAGACTGCTCTTGGTGGTGCTCCTCCTGCTGGAACGGCAACTGCTCTCGTTGGTGGAGGTGGTGGAACGCAGACTGCAATGGGAGGAGGATATGGAGGGACAGCAACATGTTTGGGGAACGCTCCTGCGGCAGGTAGAAAATATTCTCTTTGTCATTTTAGCCATAACTTAATGTTTTAATTAAAGGTACAATGACTGCTCTTGGTGGAGGAGGCGGCGGGACGATGACAGCTCTTGGAGGCTTGAAACCTGCTGCTGGTGGTGCTTCTCTTGCTGGTTCAAGTGAGTTAAAACTTAAATCTCAAACCATCATTAATTGAGCTTTTATTTTCATTTAAAGGTGTTGGCGCTTCCTCGGCATATATGGGAGGTCCTCAAACCGGTGGTGGCGTTGGTGCGCAGTCTGCCTACTTTGGCGGTGGTGGAGGAGGTGGCGGCGGTGGAGCACGTCCACCTGCTGGAGGCGCTGCTGCGGGATCTGTCTACATGGGCGGTGCAGCTGCCGGTGGAGGAGGCGGCGGTTTCCAGAGCGTCTACATGGGGAAGTGATGTGCAGCCGAGGACAAAAGATGGAGAAGAGCAGAAGAAGCGTTGTTTGACTAGATGATCTCTTTTCCCTTCCAATCCCCCATATATAATTGTGTGTTTTGTATTGTGCTAATATATATAGGCTATTATCCCATTTGTTGTTGTGGCTCATTAAAATAATCCAAATGTGCCCAAATATGTCGTATAATTTTCTATTGTTCATATTGTATGTTGTATATTGCTGTTTGTATTGATATAAAAATATTTAAATGTGTTTGTTGGTTTTTGTAGATTGGAATAGGTTAGGTTTGAAAGTTGTAAGATATGTTATGACTAGGATTCCTTTTTGCTTTCAGAAAATCCTATTTAATATGAATGCCCTCTGATGCGCATTATTTTTTGCTTGAGTGATTGAAGAGATCTTATCTGAGTTGAATCCACAAGTTTTCGGATATACGGAATCGAACTAAAAAATCCTTGGTTCTTCGGCTGTTACAAACCAACATTTAAAGTGAAATAAAACTTTCACTGCTACTATGTAGTTTCATATTAAATATCCTCAATATTTTTTCTTTAAACAAAAAAGAACTCACATAAATCCCTTATTTTCCGGTGAAATAAACAATTGTGGAGACTTGAAGTCATTGAAAGAAGTTTCAAAAGATAAAGTACCAGAATTAAAAGCTTCTTGACATTCGTGAATAGATGGCCAAGACGGATTAAAAAATGGGAAACTTGCCTCGTCTTGTTTGCTAAAAATAATTTTTCGTTAAAATTCTTTCAAAATTTTCTCACTCTAAAATTGGATATTTAGGAATTAATTGAGGTTCATCCATTTCTAATCCAATTCCAATAAAAGGGGCTAATTTAGAAATATATTCTTTCCATTCAGAAAGCCTCTTCTCTTCCCTAATCTCATCATTCTCTTTTCTTTTTAAACGATCTAATTCAACAAATTTTAATTCTGGCGAGGCTTCAAATTGTTGATTAATAATTAATTCAATTTCTAAAAGAAAATTTCTTTAAAAAATATATTTTTTTATAAAAATATTACCAGCTTTTACTTTTTCTCTTTGTTTATTTAATGATTCATTATATAATTTCCAATTATTTACTGTACAGAATAAACGTTTCCTTTCTCTCCTACCACCATTCCATTGAATGCCTTCGCGACAATTAGAAACTTAAATTTGGAATAAGAATAATTGAATTTGAAATATTAAAATAATCCAAAAACAAACAAGGAAGCGCTCCATATTCAAAATGTTCATATGCCAATTTTGCTTGTAACCTAGCTTCCACTGGCGCCCGATTTGACTCTATTAGCTCTTCTAATTGATAAATTCTTCGCATTCTATTAAAATTAAAATTTAAAAATTTTTTAAAATTAATAGGACTACTTTTCTTTAAACATTTCAACATCTTTAATTGTATCTAAAAGGTTTTCATGTTGATTCTCCATTACTTCAAATATTTTATTTATACAACGAAGAAGAGAAACTTTCTGTTTTTATTTTTAAAATTAAAAAAAAACTTTATTAAATACCGTCAAAGCCAAATCCAGATCAGTTTCAAGTCTGAGGGCTTTGTCAAAAGTATCAATTGCTTCACTGAAATTACCATCCTTTAAATTAATTACTACTTTTCTTAATAATTAAATTTACAAGAACATAAGCATCCCCCAAAGGAAGAAGACATTTTGCACAATTTGGTACTTTATTGTTTATAAACTTTAAAAAAAAAATAAATTTGTCAAGTTCTTAGAATACCCCCATTTTAATTTAAATTATTTCCAGTCTCCCATTATTTTTTTGGATAAAGAACAGATAAAAAACAATTATTATTCACCTCTAAATGTTCAATAGCCCGTTTATAGTTGCCCAATCGTAATTGAATAATTCCAAGTTGAAATCTTGCTGGGCTAAAATAATAAATAAAAATTAATTTAAATAATTTTTAAATGTACATATTATCCTTCTCCATTAATAAATAATTAAATAAACAATTTAATGCATTTTGAGGATTTCCTCGAAGTCTCCAATAAAAATGTGCAAAATAAATAGCTTTTTTAATTAAATTATTATTTTGTTCATTATTTTCCTCTTTTTTAGTTTTTGAAAGAATTAATGAAATTATATGTTTAAATAATTTCATTTCTTCTATTTTAATTCCCTCAGCCAATCCAGGTTCTTCATAATTTTCAGAAGATGAAGAGGAAAATTCTTGAGAGATTTTTTGATAATCATTGCTAATCACTCCACAATCAATTTCTTTATCTTCTACTTCTTTGTCAGAAAATTGGAATTGTTCCCCAAAAGGTTTTAAAACAATTGATTTTAATTCATATTTTCCATCAATTAACACCAAATCGAAAGGATAAACTGTTAGGAAATTTTCTGGTTGAAGTTCAAAGTTTTTACTTCTAATACAATCTAAATTTGTTGCTCTAATTTTATGTTCAATTTGAGGATCATCGTCATCATATCTTTTCTCTATTAAAACCTAGAAAACTTTTTTTAAAGGTTGAGAGAAATTTTTATTTTGTTTTAAATGGTTCTTTAACTTTCTTCCTCGCAACTAATTGTCAAAAAATTTCAATTATTCTACATAACAGATTTTAAAAATTTTAAAAACATACCTGTTGCTGTCTAACAGATGTTTTCAATTCTGCAAGTTCTTGCACTAATTCAACTTGACTATAAAAATCAGCTAACAAATGTGGATGTCTTATTAAATAAGGAGAATCTTCCTGAAATTGAAGAAATAAATTATCATAAAATTAACAAAATACAGACCACTTCAGCTCTTCCATTTTTAGAATCAAAAATTAAATGAGAATGTGCAATAACTGGCAATAAATTAATCAAGAGAAATGGGGAAATATAAAATATTAATTCCAGCATTCCTAAAATAATTTTAATAATTTTGAAAATTAAGAATTAAAAATAAGTCTAAGCATGGCAATATCGCCCTTTTCTTGTTTAAAATTTAAAAAATTTAAAGCACTTTTATTCAATTTCAAGGCAAAAAGAATATAATAATGAGATGATTTTTAAGAGATCAAAAAAATAAATTAAAACAAAGCATTTAAAGCTTTTCTTCTTTAAGAGAAAATCTTTTTATTTATTAAAATGATGAGCAAGCACATAATTAACATCATCCTTCGTAAGCTTATTAGATCCTCTATGCTTCGCTAAACTGCAAGCTTTATCCAGAATTTTATTTACATAATCATTTGTAAACTAAAATAAAAATTTTATAGAAAAAACCTTATTATAAAATTGAATGAATCATTACGACTATCAACTAAAACAATTTAATTCCCCGAATGCAAAAAATAACCCTATAAATACAAAAAACCATACCCGGTTAGCACATAACCTTCCGCCTAATCTAAATAATTTCTAAATATAGTACATAAAAAATACCAACCTCCATCAACGCTTCATGCACATCTTTATCAAGTATAGCATTTGGATTAATTTTTCTCAATAAATCATCCAAATAAGTAACAGATCTATTCTCATCATTATCTTCCATTCTGACAATAAATATTTAAAAATCAAAAAATCTTTTTAAATAAACCAAATTAAAAAAAAAACATTTAAGAATCTCAAAAATCTATAGCGAAATAGAAATCTAAGAAGATATATTATTTTATTTATTTTATAAAATTTAAAACAATAACTATAAAATTCAAAAAAAAATCAGCATATTTTCAAGAAGTATATTGAACCATCAAATCCTAAAAAAATTAAAAATTTATTCCAAATTTTTATTTAAAAAACCTTTGCAGGCCAAAGCCTATCCAACAAATTAACACCTACAGAACGAACAAAAACTGACGGAAGAAAATTTGTTGAAAACAAACTATTTAAAAAGTCAATAGCAGTCATTATTGGAACATTTTTGCGTTGACTTTTGGCATCAAAGTTTTTTAAATAAATTAAAGAACCTAAAAAATAATTAAATTAATAAAAATTAAATTGAAATTTTACCCAAATCTCCACCCTCCTTAACTGCAATTTCGAGTGTATTTGTTAAATTAACTACATCAGACCATCCAAGATTAACTCCAAGTCCAGCCATTGGATGTATTCTATGTGCTGCATCCCTAGAAAATTTTTTGAAAATTAAAATGTATACATTATCCAAATTTGTATTGGAATAATAATTTAAAATATTGACTAAAGATTAAATTTAGTAGTCTAGAAGAAAAAGATATCAATATATAATATCAATATTTTATTTTTATTTACACCCTGAAGAATATACTAGAAAATCCATGGGCAAATCTTAAAGTTGACTAATCTTTTTATCAAAAGTTAACCCGAACCAGCAAGTTTTTTTACATATTAGAATAATTTCAGTGCACACAAAAAATTATAAATTACCCAATTAATGCCAATCTATTCCCAATATAATCATGCGCGTGAATTAGAGATAGTGGAAATGCTGCTCTATCATTATTTGGCAGAGAAAGAATAGTTGGGAAGACAAAATTTTCAGATGACGTCAAAAATGGAATTGAATTCAAAATACTTGAAAAACAATTTAAAGGCCCATCAATTATTTTATTATGTCCAGAATGATCAACCTTAAATTGAAAAATGATTGTCAATTTTAAATTTAAAAATACCAAAGCTCCATTTAATTCCTTCACAAATTCTTCATTAGGCAATTCCAAAAGACGTTTTGCTTCTGATGTTGAAGTTGTCCAGGCAAGTGAACTCAGCTTCTCATTAAGTGGCAAAATACCGATTGGCCCAGTTGGCATAAATCTTTGCCACGCAATCGTGTTTTTAATATCATTCTTTTAAAAAATCAAAGCTTAAAGAATAAAAAAAATACTTGTGATGGAGAAATTTCTAGGGAACCAACAATACAAGATTGGCCATAATCTTCGTTAGTATATTTTAGACCACTAATTTCCCTAACTTTACTATTCGCCCCATCTGCTGCTATCTAAAAATATTTTAAACAAATCTTTGATTAAATAATACCAACAAAGAACTTTCAACTACTTCACCATTGTCCAATTTAAGAACGACACTTTCATCGAGGCTTTCAGGCAAACTGAAAGAGAAATGGATCGGAGAAAAAGATCAGAATTTCTTATGACAAATTACTAATAACGAAGCAAATATATTCTAACGGGATTGGTATAAAAATCGAAAAAAACGCCTTTATTTTAAAATTAAAAACCTCAATTCACAAAATGAGGTCTCTTGCTTCCAATCAATATTTAAACTTTCTCTAAGACATTGATGTAAAGCATCAACAATCCTCCAATTCTCTACAATATAAGCAACTGGGGAGCTTGGTTTGGATTGTTTAAAAGAAATCCTAGATTCTGAGCAACCATCTTGAATCTACAAACAAAAAATTAAAACGAAATTTTAAAAAACGCAAAACATATAAGGAAGTGACCGGTTGTGCTTTAACCGAAATTTGCTTCCAAACGTTCAGATCTGAAACAATTGAAAAATACGTATTTAAATGAAATCTCAATATTTGAATAAAAATCTAATTTTTGAACAAACTTTAGGTGACTGAAAACTCTTTAAAAGAACGAAAAACTTTATGGACGTCAAATTTTAACAAAAAATTAGGCAATTATACTTTCAAACAACTCCACAGAGGAAGGGGCTATGGCAGATACTCGGTTGGAATACCAATCCTCTTCTCTAACTTTTGGCTGGACAGTTTTGAGTGAATCGAGCAAAAGAATTTTCTTTGAAGATAATGAAGACTTCTTGCCTAAATTTGTTTTTTTGGGGAATTCGACCTTTAAAAATTATTGAATCTTATTTAAATACCAATAGCGCAAGCCATCGCGCTCCCGACCAAACCACCCCCGACAATTACAATGTCATAATGACTGGATATTGCCTTTGAAGCACAAAATGTTCGAACACAACTAATTGTTTGTGAACAAAGCATAACTTGTAAACAGTTTTTACTAAATAGAAATGATAAACTAAATATAGAATTACTTGCTGAATAACTCGACATCTTTCTGTACAAACTGGGAATTTTATCTAAAATTTATTCAAATCGATATGATAAAACAGTAAAAAATAAAAATACACGCTTTTACGAGGTAATTTGTAAATTTAAAGATCATCATCAGCATCAGTGTCTCCATCCAGAGCTTGTACAGATCCTGAATTTGATGGTTTAATTTATAAATAAATTATATACTATAAAACCTGAATCGGAAGACGTCAACTCACTAAAAGCCAAATGTCCTTGAGTAGCATCAAGATCGACTTTGAACCTTTTGCATGAACGTTGGCCCTCATCATCGCTTCCATAACAGTCATCACCAGAGCCGCTCCAATGAACCACTGAGTCAGATGTGGAGTCGTTCGTAGAATCTGGAGGAGGCGAACCACTATTTTGACAATCCCAGCGTGTTTTTTTCGCTGCCCCCTTACGCCTTTTGCGAAGCCGACGTTTTGCGGCACGGCTTTCGCCTAAGGACTTACACAAAATTTGGATGAATCCCGAATGCAGCAACTCCCGACGCAAATCCTTGTGTTTTTGATCCATTAGACCACGACGTTTACGAATTGCCAATGCCAAAAGTTGAACTGGTGTAAGCGTAGTCGAAGATGAGGCATTTTCAGTTAAATCAGAATTAGTCTTGTCAACATTTGAAGAATATGAGCAGTTATTTGTTTGATTACGAAATAGCATACTGAAAATTTTAAAAATTAGTTAAAAAATTGCAAAAAATATCGGGAGATTGGAGAAAATATAAAAAAATAGTCACAGCATAAGCAAAAGTAATGCAAGTGGAAGGAATGAAATTAGTAACAAAGCAATGGCGTCTAAAAATTGTAAACTCAGGGTTCGCATTTCTACTTTTTTAAAAGTATTCTACTTTTAAATCGACCTCCATGCTTACGAAATTGAATTTATACTTTTTTGAAAGTATATACTTTTTTTTGATTGAAAATGAAATTGGGGAAGGGATTGGGCAAAAAAGTGAATTTTTTTGGCCTACGGCCTTTGAAATTCTCAAAATTTTCGCCTGCGGCGCTGAAAAAAGATGAAATCTATCTTCTTGGGCTCTAAATTTCAAAAAATTTTCGCCTGCGGCGCAAGAAATGGAAGAAATTTGGCTTAAGGACTTCCAAAATTCTCAAAATTTTCGCCTGCGGCGCTGAAAAAGGAAGAAATCTGGCTTAAGAACCTCCAAAATTCTCAAAATTTTCGCCTGCGGCGCTGAAAAAGGAAGAAATCTGGCTTAAGAACCTCCAAAATTCTCAAAATTTTCGCCTGCGGCGCAAAAAATATATTTTTTGGCGCCTTCGGCGCCACAAAAGGTGCATTGAAATTGACAAAATGCTCAGTTGAAACAGGAAATTATTAGAAAAGATTCATTTAGGAGAGAAATATAAAAGATTTGAGGACGAATAAATATTTTCTAATTTAATTTTGAGACTACTTTTTTTTGCAAATTTTCTCCCTATATACTTTTTTATCGAGATTTTGATACTTTTGAGTGGCATTTTGTCGATGCGAACCCTGTGTAAACTTCTCTAACACAAGTTCTCTTTTTTATTCCTCACTTACTGCTGCGGGATACAATGTCCTAATCAATAAAAAGACATTTTGCCAAAAAAGTTAAGGCAAATTTTTTTAATTTTAAAATAAATTACGGTAGTTTTTAAAATACTTTTTTTATGTTTACGCCGTTTCATTTTAATAACATTTTTCCATAAAGTTTTAAGTTTAATTTTCTAAATAACTATTTTATAGGTTAATTTATTTATTCCTCTATATATACAAACATTTAAAAAATGATAAACCATGATAGAAATATATATTTATATTTTTGGTATTTAAAAATTTAGTTTATTCTTTATAATCTTCAAAAAATTCTTCAGTAGCTAAAATAGACGTTTTTTGATCTAAAGAAGTTGCACGCGAAGTATTTTGAGCAGAAGAATTTCTATCGTCTTTTTTTATTTCTTGTTTTGAAGAACTGAAATTTTTTCAAATAAGTTTTAAGGGTCTTCAATCTTTTGGAGAGAATTGAAAGAATTTTAGGTGGTTGTTGATATTCCTAGATTAATAGGAGGAATATTCTCTGCGAACATGTACATAGTCTACCAAATCCCTGTAATTTAAATTCCTTCAATACTCTCTATTTCTTATAGAAAAAACAATTAAACTCACTTTTCACAAATAATTTCTGCACTTCTTTGTTGTCTACACTTTTCTTTTGCCGTTCCAGTAGTAGATGTTTTATTACTTCCCATTAATTTACAAATATTTTTCAATTTTTTACCACCCTGTTCATGTATTGTTTTTTCATTTCTGGAAGAGATATTTTGTTTTAACGCTTCTCGTGAGGGGGCATCGCTACTAGATGATGTTCTATAACGACCACCACCTCTTTGGGTATAATTCCCCGTTCGAGTAGTTCCAAAGAAGCTTGAAGGTCCTAAAGTTTCAAAACGAGGTGAAAGAAGGGCATTCATCCATCCAGTCATATAATTAGCTGTTATACTTTTCTTATTTGAATTATTTGTTGTCGATTCTTTTTGTTTTGTTTCATTTTCTTCTTGTAAATGTTGTTGATGTTGAAGTGGTGGACGTTGTTGACGATGGCATTCTAATGAATTTGGAAGTTTTTCTTTACAATGATCATGTACGAATATTAAACAACGTGAACATCTACTTCCATATCTCATCCATAACTGTAAATATTATACAAAATAAAGCTAGAATATAAATTTGTGGGAAAGAGACAAAAAAATTAATTGAGATTTTTTAACTCTCCCAATTCATGCCAAATTTAAGGAGACGTGTTAAGAGGAAATGTAGAACAATTAAAAAGGTAGGACAATTTGCCCTTCCAATGTATGAGATTTGGGAAGTTAATTAGGAGAACATCTACGCACGTAAAATTTCTCTGCCTTTTAAAAACACAAAAAAAAAATTTAAATTTTACTTTTTTATTGCAATTAAAACAATTTGTTGGTGTTAGAAAATGCCATTCTATCCATTTATGTTTTGTTTTATTATTATTAGTTGTTTCTTCATTCTGATTATTTAAATTATTTTCATTACTTGTTGATGGTTGTTGTTGGTTACTTTTTAAATTAAATTCACTAATAAATTGTTCGAAATCATCCAAATCAATGAATGGTTGTTGCTGTTTTTGTTTAAAATTATTATTTTTTGAATTTTCTACTAAAAATTTTGGGGAAGGAGGAGGGATTTTTGAAGAAATTTTTGTTTCTTTTAAGGGTTCTTTTGTAGTTTCCTCTATTCTTATATCAATTGCTGAATGTGATGTTATATTATTTTGGTTATTATTTAAGAAAAGTTCATTATCATGTGCTTTAGGTTCTCTTTTTAATGACAAATTGTAAAGCTTTAAAAATATTAAGAATATAGTTGGGGTATGTATAAAGTAATTACCTCATGTTCATTATATATTGTATCAAATAGCACCTTCTTTAAAGCATTAACTAAATCTGAATTTGCATTACCAAAATTGGGCGGAGTTCTGTTAACACTCAGAAAATTGGAAAGTAAATAGGCTAATTGGCTTAGACCTAATTAAATATTAATTAATTTATTTAAATTTTTATTTTAATTTCTATCCAATTTTTAAAATAAATATAACATTTTTATCCAAAAAATATCCTAATCCTGTCCTTTGCAAATTAATAATTTGGATATATTTTTCCTAATATTTTCTATGAACTTAAACATTTTTAATTATGGCTCCCTCTTGTGAGTCGAGGATAAAAACGGCTTTTGGGGTTTTTATCGAGGATAAAAATCGAGGATTTGCGTAATTATGCGTAATTATATCGAGGATTTGCGTAATTATTGCTAGCAGAAAGTAATAGTGTTAATGAATTTTAAATCTTTTAAATGAACTTGTGGAGTCTTAGTGAGAATCTTGTGGAGTCTTAGTGAGATTCCACAAGATTCCCTTCTAAATATTATTTAATATGTATTTACATCTCTCAGATATTTTCCTTGTTTCTTCAAATTGTTCAAGGTTAGCACTGTGCCAAAAAGCAATTAAATCTTTTAAATGAACACCCCTAAAAATAAAATAAGAAATATTTTTAATTAATTAGTTTACATTATTGGAATTCTAAATTGTTGATTTGCTTCTCTTAAAGCTTTTCTATAATTTGCGTAATTATTGCTAGCAGAAAGTAATAGTGTTAATGAATTTAATTCTTTTTTAGTTGTAGAACTTAGAAGTGATTGTGTTTGTGTATGTCTAGCAATATTTGAATGTGTTATTGCGCCCTTTAAAAATTAAATAAAAAATTATTAGTAAATTTAAAAATTATTATGTTGAGCGCCGATTATGCGACGTTTTTTGCTTGCAAAATATTTTTATAAAATTGGAAAGTATCTCACTTAAGCCCGATTATTTATTTCTGTTGAGATTTTTAATGTTTAAAATTTTATTAACTACTGCCAGTATTTCCAAATTTCAAGTCACATTTAGTAATTAAACTCTAATTTAAAAATTAGTCAGGATTTTTAATTAAAGTTCATTGGAATGAAATAGATAATTTTAAAAGTTTAAAATAAAAAATCTAACAATAACAGCCATCAAAGTATTGAAATTGTTTTGTTGACGTAAACACTTTAATTAATTAAATTTTATTTAATTAATTTACATATAATAACAAACTTTTGCGACTTTAATAAACTTTTCAATTACAGAAGCTCTTTCTTGTGGAGTTCTTTTTAGCAGAATTGTTGCTTGAACCCAACCAGAAAAACACTAAAAATATCTCTATTATTTTAGATAATTGTCTATGTACATATGTCCCAAAAGAATATTTTTATCATTATTCCCCCCCCCCCAACCAACTCCTTATTTTTGCCCACGTTCTCCATAATAAATTAAACCTACTAGATGAAATAAATAAAAACTTACATTAAAAGAAGCAATAGACCTGAAAATCTGTTTAAAATTTAATTAATTTAAAAATTAATTTATTTTGACCTCTCAAGTTGTGTTTCACTTGATATTTTTCCAATTTTTATATATTGTTTTAATTCTCCAGTAGTTATTCTACTCAAAACTTTGTGTTCAACTTAATTAATTTAATCAAAACAAAATATTTTTTTATTTTAAACTATTTGACATTGCTTTAGCAATTTCTTCAGCAGACCAATGCTCTATAAGGCAGAATGAAGAAACTTGGAGGTGAGTAGATGAAAGTGGAGGGTTTCTAGCTGAAGGGTTTCTTATCCATGCATATGAAGGACTGAAAATAAAATTATTGCTTTAATTAATTGAGGGGATTTAAAAAAGTAAACAAAGTATTACATATGTAAAAAATCAAAGGAAAGATTTTTAAATAAATAGTAGAAGTATCCTAACTTTAAACAAAAAAATTTCCAAAAAAATAAATCCTCTTTATAAAAATATTTATTTTTAAACATACATAGAGGAAATATCAAGTAATTCATCCACAGCTTGTAAAGGAATAAAATTATTAGCCATCGCTAATTTTTTGAGTCTTTCTAAAAGACGATAAAGCTGAGGATTTGCATCATATTGGAAATGAACAGGGAAATTACGGATCCAAAAGCCAACAGCTGCACAGACTTTTTGGCCATAACTTAAAGGGTCACTCTAAAAAAATTAAAAAAAATTATTAAAATTTATCATAAATTATATGTTAAATTAATAAAAATGCAAAAAATTACATGAAATATTGACAAAAAGAGGGCCATTAATTCAGACTAAAAAATTAATAAAAAAATTAAATTTTAAATAAATTTAAATTTACAAGGTCAGAGATCAACCATTCACTTGTAGAGAAAAACCAAACAGGGAATTTAGAGCTTGGTTCTGGGGTGCAGTCTTCTTTTAATTAAAACATAATTTAAAAATAATTTTTTAATAAATTACCAAAATAATCACAACATTTTCTAACAAGTTCAGCCATTTCAAGTAATTCCGAAGCTTTTTCTTGGTCGCTCATTAATATACATTAATTAATTTATTTTCTTTTTTTTATTTTTAAATTAATTTAAAATAATTTTATAGATACAAAAATAAATATAGTTGTTGCCGTAAATAATAATAAATTTTTAGGTAAATATATTTAAAGTAATAATTACTGATAATACATATGTATAACTAAAAATAAATTATTTACTAATATTTTTGATAAAAAATATAAATATTAGTATTTATTATGTAATTTTTAAAGATTATTTTTTTAATAATACATAAGAGGGTTTCTGTGTAAATATTATTTTTATATATTTTTAATTCCAAATAATATTATATATAAATAATATTATATATAATCCAATAATAAAGAAAAAATAATTTTCTTTAAAACTAAATCCTTTTCTTTCTAAATAAAAATGTCCAACTAGTAAAAAGAAAAGTTAATTTATATTGAAAAACATAAAATAATGTGGAAAGGCTAAAAAAGATGAAAAGAAAAATTAGAAAAAAAAAGAAAAAGCCTTTCGAGAAATGCCAAATATTTTTTTATATTTCTCATGGCGCAAGTAAATAAAAATGTATGTAGACCCTAACCATATTTAGAGGGAAAGAGGAGAGGAGTAATAGGCCTCCCAACCTCTGCCAAAAGCTGTCAATAAAATATAAAAGTATTGACTGGCTCTATATTAACCTTTTTTTATTTATTCTTTTCTCGACATGTCTGGCAAAAAAAAAGAGAAAATTTTGTTTTATTGATTTTTATTTAAAAATAAATAAAAAAATTTTTAAATAAGTAAATTTAATATTTTATAATTATGCAATATTTAACTTGAGGATTTAATCTAATTTTTTAATTTTATTTAATTTAACTCCAACGCAATATTTAAATTTAAAAAATAAGAGGAAATTACAAAATATACATATACTATCAAATAAATTAATGTTAATAAATAAGAAATATTCTTTAAAATAAATAAATTATTAAAATTATGATAGGTTAAAACAAAATTAAATTATTTAAAGTTTTGGACAATTAAATTAAATATGGAAATAAATATTAAAAAATATTTTTTATTTTTTGGTCAAGGTTCTGTGATTAAAATTTTGTTTATTTTTGTTTTTTTAAATAATAAAAAAGGGAAACGGGGGGAAGGGGATTTCTTTTAAATTAATAAAAGTTAAACTTTTAATTACCAAAAAAAACTTTGTGGAGTGAATAAATTGAAAAGAATTTGTGGAATGATTGAAAAATAAATATTTTTTAGAGAGAGGGGAATTAAAAAATAAATAAATAATGTATGGATGTATTTAAATATATTTATTTATTGAATAAATATTTAAACAATAAATATTTTTTAAATAAAAAAAAAGAGGAGAAAATATTTTTTTTGAGGGAAAAGAAAAAATAAAATAAAATAAGTACCAGATGACCGGACTGTCAACATAAACATGAAATAAAAAATCTTGAAAAAATGATAAAAAAATATTTAAAAAATTTTTCTTGATAAGGAAAGGAATGACGAGAATTAGAAAAAAATGAGAGAGAAAATAAAATTAAAATTGAAAAAATTTTCAAGTATTATCATCATCTAAATATGTACTTATTTTTAATAAACAATAAATGTAATTTTGGAAGGTTTTTAGAAAATAAAATTTTGAAAAAAGTGAATATATATTTCTAAATAATTTTTATTTAAAAAATAATTATTTTTAAATTAATTAATTATTAAAAGAATATTTTTTAAAAATTATTAAATTATATTTTAAATATTATTCAGATAATTTAAAATTAAATTTAAAGAAGACGGATCAAGACCGAACCTTTGAATATGTACAACTCTGTAGTAACTTTGTAAAAAGGAGTGTTTATAAATCTTCTCATCTACATATTTATTCAATTAAGAGATATATTAAAGGATTTGCTTCCATTGTGAATATTTAAATTTTATTTATTTTAAATAATTATTTATTTTAAAAATAATTATTATTTTTACAAATATTCGTGACTAAATAAAATAAATAAATATTATCGTTTTTTCTCATAAAATTAATATATTTTTATTTATTTCCATGGAAATGCTTTGTTACCTTATTTTCAAATAAATATTATATACTTTTATTAAAAGATTTTTAAAATCACAAAATTAAAAAATTAAATAGTTGCTAAAATTAATTTTAAATTTTTTTGATGATTGATGACGTTATTGACTACATAGATTTAAATAAATATATATTTATATAAATTCTTTTTTTAAATAAAAATGTCCTTCATAAGTTTCTATTTTTTGAACCCTTCAAGTTATTATAAATACTTCCCTTTTCTTATTTAGAAGAAATTTTTTTAGTCAAGTTTACTTAAAAATCAGCATTTTATTTGACACATTTTAAGAAAATTAAAAGAAAAATTTTGAGTATTTAATGGAAATATTCCAAACATATTTTTTTAAGAATTTTTTTTTTATTAAAATAAATATTTCTAAAAAAATATTTAAATTAATCTCTCCATCCAAATAACTACCTACTAATTTCTACATCCTCCATAATTTTCTTTTCAAATTAAAAAGCAGGGCGTGTTCAAAACTTAAAAAAACATTTTTAACAGTTGTTCTTTTAACAAATATTTTTATCAAATATCTTCTTCTTCTCCCTACATTCCTAAAAATCTTTTTAAAAAATTCCCCTCATTTTTTTTAATTTTCATTCTCTTTTTTTTCTTTTACTACCTCATTGCTTTTTCTCAAAAGGCAATAAATCCTTGTCATTTTTCATTCATTTATTTATTTTACTTATTCACAAACATGAAAAAAACATGTTTATTAAAAAATTAAAAAAATATTTTAGTAGACAATTTTTTAAATTTAAAAGTAAAAATTAAATATATTAAATAATTTCCTTCTTTTAAACAATTTTTTATATTTCTTGCTAACATCCAATGATAATCTGAAAATTTTGTAAAACACATAATTATTTAGCTATTTAAAAAGTGATATAATAAATAAGCACATATGTAAGTCCAATAAATTGAAAAAATGCTGGTTCCTCCCAGCATAGGTGAAGGCGAAGTACAATATATAGTAGCTAAAGTAGCAATGTTAATCTGATCAGCTTCATTTAAAATAAAAATTTAATATATTTCTAAAATCTCACAAAATATTTAATTTTACAAATTTATCTTTATTATTTTTAACATTTTTAACTAATTTCTTAAATTTCAAAAAAAATAAGTAAACCAAAACACACAAATTTAAATATATTTTTAAATAAAAATTATGAGCTTTCTTTTAATAAACAAATGTTTTTTAATGTTTAAAATATAAAAAAAAACTTTGGTTTTATTGAAATATGAGCTTCTTTTAGGTATTTATTTTTTTAAAAATATTGCTTATCCCTAAATTAATAATTCTTTTTTTTTCTTATTTCTTAAAAATATAAAACATCCCTTCGAGAAAATTTAAAAACTTTATTATTTACAAAATCTAATTTTTATTTTTCAAAAAAAAATATAAAAACATCCAAGAATTTAATCCGAAACAAAATAAAAATTTAATTAGTAATTAATTTACTTTTATTTTTAAATTAAATAGAATTTTTATTTAAAAATAATGGGAAATAATCGTTCCTCAACCTCTTCTTCTTCTGCTACTTCAAGTTATTCTCAATATACCCATTCCATTCCAAACAAAAATTTTACTGATAAAAATACTCGGCAATTTTGGAAAACTTCAATTTCGGCACGAGAAAGTTTTGAAATTTCTCCACAACAAAAAGAAGAAACAAAAACACGTTTACGTAATCGTTCTCTTGTTTTATTTCAACAACCAAAATTAAATAAAGGAGGAGGAAATAATAATTGGTGGCCTTTAAAGAGAATAAAAAATAGAAGGTTTTGAATTTTGAAGATTAGTGTTGAGCGGGATCGGGATTTGGAATAATGACCCCGATCCCGAATCGGGTACCGGTATTGAAAAATCGGAATCGGATTAAAAAACAGGGTTAATCCCGCCCGATCCCGACCGGGATCCCGCTCAACCCTAAAATTAATTTTAAAAAAATATTCTTTTTTTTTGTTTAAAGTATTGAAAAGAAAAATTCTTATGGAGTACCCCCTCCTTTAATGTTATTTGATGAAATAAATAGAGAAGAAGAAATTCAAAGTTTAGAAAACCGTCCATTAATAGATTTAACAGTAACAAGTAGTGAGAACAACAGTCCCTGTTCTTCTCTTCCTCCAAACCAGCCAACAACAACAATAGATGATTCTAATACAACAACAACATCTACAGCCACAACAACAACATTTATTAGTTTTAGACCCCAAAGATGCCAATTTTTAGAAAATTCTTCAGAAAATTTTGTTGAAAATAAAAATAATAATTCTGAATTTAATATACATCAAAGACGTGCAAAATCATTTAGACACTTCCCTAGTACAAAAACTTGTAATAATAGTAGAAGAAGTACTAGGTAATTATTTATTTAAACTATTTATTGAAAAATGTTTTTAATAAATATCAAAAAAATTTTGAAATGCTCACGAAAAAAGAGAAATATTTCCTCATTTTTGCTCTTTTATAAGAATACCCCTTATTATAAGTAAAAACTTGTGCCAGTCCCGAAAGTGAAGCTCAAAGTAAATTTTGAGTTTATGTATATTTCGTGTCAGGCTATCTTTTCCGTGATTTGGAATTCCTTGAGTTAGCCCCCACCAGTATATATTTATTCAACTTCCAGTTTTTCTTAAAAATTCAAAACAAATTTACTATTCCCCATTTTCTTTTCCTTTCAGATTCAGCACAGCTTCAGGTTCAGCCCATCTTCTAAAAAAATCCCCATTTATTGCCAATATTTGTCCAATAACCGGATTAACCCCAATTCAAAGAAGAATGATTATTGAAAGAGTTTGTAAATTAAAAACTCTAGATTTACACACATTTTGTTCTTCAACATACAAAAATGTTTTTGAAAAATATCCAAAATTAATTTCTTATTTTTGTTTAAATACTTCAATTAAAAGAAAAAAATCAGAAAAAGATTTTATTTTAAAAGAAGGGGAAAAAGAAAATAAAAAGGAGAAAAATGGAAAAGAAATTTGTAGACGGTTATCTTCTATTGGAATTTTTAGAATGCTTGTTAGAGTAAGTAGAATATTTTTAAAAAATCAGAATTTTTTTAGAAAGTTTATTTAGTCATTTTAAATTTAAATATTCCCTTTAATTTTAAATAACACATCAGTCCAATCAACTGAAGATGCTGGTTCGCTCCCAGCTGCCGAATAACCTTTTGCACTAGCCGGAGGAGAGAAATAGCTATAGCTCAGCTGCTTTACTTAATTTTAAATTAAATTTACAAAATTAAAAATTTTTATTAAACAATTTGGATGTAAAAAATTAAACAATTGTTCCCCCCCCCCCCTCTCCCCCCTCCACCGCAAAAATAACAGAAAAAAAGTTAAAATAATTTTGATTGATGACATAATTTTAACATTTGGGAATAAAATATTAAAACAGAAAAAATGTTCTAAATACATATTTTTTAAGAAAAATCTATTTAGGTAAATAGATCATCATTCAATTTATTTTTGGTAAATAAGACAAAAATAGAAACAAAGTTTAAGCAAACATATTTATCTATTTCGAGTTTAAAAAATATTTTTTTGAGTTAAAAATAAAAATAAATAATTTTTTCTTTTTTTAAAGAGATTTTTCAATGTTTTACAACTTGTTTTGATTTTACTAGAAGAGGGGCAATCTTCAATTATTGAACAAATTTTACTTGAATTTGGAGGAATGCATGCTAATAATAATAGAGGAAATGGATATGAAAGAGAAGAGGGGGAGGAGGAAGAAATAAAAGAAGATATATCACTAATACCTCAAGAATATTGGGAAATACTTTTACAATCACTTTTAAATTTAACAAATAAAGAAGAAAATATTTATGTAAAAACTCAAAACGGCCAACATCTTTTTGATGTTTCAACATCCAATTATAGCAAAAGAAGTGTTGAAGCTTGGACTTTATTTTGTATTTTTATTGTCTCAAAAATTCGGTAGAAACAAAAAAAATTAATTTTAATTTTTTAAATTTAATTAAAAGATTTGGATTTGTAATGGAATGCTTTTTACATTCAAACTTTAAAAATAAAAGAAAAAATGTTCAACAAGAATTTAATAAAAATAATACAAAAAATACTCAACAAATAATTTACGATTTTAGAAGAAATTCTATTTCAAGTGAAAATACTTTATTTTATAAAGAAAATATTAAATAAAATTAATTAAAATATTTTTAAAATCCCTTTGTGAATCTCTCAACTTATTTGTGATTATTTTTTAAATTAAATAAATTTAAGAAAAAAATTGTTTTTAAATTTTATTTCAACATAAAAAAAAAAAGAAAATTTTAAAATATAGCAAGAATTGCTCAAAATTAGAATGATAAAAATATTTGAAAATTTTTCGATAAAAGATTTGTCAAACAGTTATTAATTAAAAAGAAAATATCTTTAAAGAAAAAGAACTACTTATTAGTAAATGCAGAAATTATATACAAAAACAAAAAGAAAATAATCAAAAAATATAAAAATTAATCAATTTCTGATCACTCTAATTTTTTTAAAAGAAAAAATATCAAAAGAAAATTTTATTGAAAACCCCAGATTTTTATTAAAAATTTCCAAAAAAATTAATTTTTTTTTATTTAAATTTTATCCAATTTAAATAATAAAAATCCAAGTCTTTCTTAAATAAAATCATTTTTGTCTAATTTTTTTAAATTTATTAAAAAATCACTCACTTCCATGTCTTTCTTTTAATTTAAAGATTTCTTAACATTTTCCAAACTAGCACTTAAAACTTCAAGTTGTTTCTTCAATTGTTGAGTCTTCTTTTCAATATTTTTTGAGCGAAACATTAAAGTTTTAACTTTTTCTGAATTATTTGGATTTGAAGACATTTTTTGAATTTGAGCAAGAAGAAGTAATTGCTCCTTTAAAAAAGAATTTATTTAAAAAATTATTAAAAACAATTACTTCCAACATATCACTATAAAGTTTTGAGGTTTGTCGATGACGGTCACGTAATTGTGTTAACACAGGTTGATTTTGAGAAATTGCTGTAAATTTTTTAAAATAAAATTTAGACAAAATATTAAATTTTTAAACCTTTGTTATGGAAAGGAAAACTATTTATTGCAGGAGAATATGTTTTTGAAAATGTACGATAAGCAAAAGAAGGTGCCTGAAAAATAAAAATTTAAAAATTCAAAGATTTTCTTAATTTGGCTCTAAGGATAATTAATAGAATAATTATTGTTACTTAAAATTTTAATGAAATCATTTTGCTGTACTTGAGGATAATTAATAATTATCCTTACAATTAGTGTTAGAATCAAATTGATTATAGAACGCCATAAATCGATTTAAAAATTATTTTTATATTAAAAATTAAAATATAGGGAAATTAAATATAAAAATATTGTGAAATTTTTTTGATTATAAACCCATAAATATTTACATTTTTTGGTTTAGTCCTAAGGGGTTGAATTGCCATTCGCTGATTTTGTGTATTAACAGAAGCAGCAATTTGTGAAACTAAAGACAATAAATCATTTTGTTGAACTTGTTGTTGTTGTAAAATATTAGTTCCAGTTGATGCTGTTGACGTAAATGTCGGTGTAGTTATATGGCAAGGTGCAACAGTTGCATAAGGTCTGGTTGTGTTATTATTATTAATTTGTTGTTGTTGTTGCTGTGATGAGGATGATACAAGAAATTGTTGTTGGATAGATTGTTGAAGTAAATCAGACACGCCTCCATTAGTACTACAACCTGTTGGTGACATGAGAGCTTCTTGAAGACATACAACTACGTCTCTCTTGTGTACCAATGGACGGGAAAGAGCTGGAAATTAATAACAATTATTAGAAAAATAATAAGAGTTTCAAAAACGTGAATAGGGAACTCTATTTATTAGTTCATTCCGCCTAAACATGCTATTTAAGACTGTTAGCCAAACTTGAATTTTAATAATAATCCCACAACTAAAACCCCAAAACTAATCACACACATAAAGACCCTTAATTTAGTTTCCTTGAAAAAATTGACAAAGTTCAGAAAAGAAACAGGAGCCAAAATTAACTAAAAATTAGAAATACCAGATGTTGGTGGCAACTCTCTTCCTTTAAGTTCCTTTTCTCTTTCCAAAGCCATTCTCTTCAAATTGTGTTGTTCTTCTAAAACTGCATCAATCTCTGCCTCTGAAAATAAAAACAAAATTTTATAAAAAAAATTTCATAAAATTAACCATCATCAGTACTGCTAATATCATCAATAGAAATACATCCATCCCACAGAGGAACTACACTAGGAGATTTAGGCGCACTGATAGGCAGATTGACAACAAATTCACGAATTTTGCGAATATCATTTTGTTCTGTGTCAACAGCAATCTTTAAAAAAAAATTTTTTCTAATCCGAAGAAATGAAACAAAACCTCCAATTTATTTTCTTCTTCCTTATTTTCAGTTTCCTTTTCTTCCAAAGCAACTTCATCAACAATTACCTAAATTAAAAAACTTATTTTTTAAATATCTATTGTGGATATTATTTGAAAGGCTTCCAATAATCCCACAATCCCTTTCAATAAAAAGCTAAATAATTATAAAAAAATTCGTTGGGATCCCAACTTAAAAAAAATAACAAATTAAATAATTTAAAACCTCTTCTTTTTCCATATTTTGGTCAATTGTTTCATCTTCCTTTACCTCTTCGTCCTTTTCTATTATTACTTCTTTTTCTTTAATTTCTTCAATTTTATCTTCCTCAACTACTTGTGTTGTTGTTTTGGGTGTTTTTACAACAGAACTTTTAATATGTTCTTTAAGCATTTCCAACCCAAATTTTGGTTTTTTATATTTTTTCCTTTCTTTACAAATTGAACGTTTTGATGACTTTAAATTAACTAACAGAACAAGATCATCTACGTCTTCCTCGTCTTCTTCTTTAATTGTAATACTCGGTTGTTCCATTTCAATCCGAATTCTTTTATTTTCAAGAAAATCGGAGTTATTCATTTCCAAATTTGGTAACTAAAAAATTTAAATATTAAAAAAATTATTTTTAATTTATACTTCATCAACACAAACTGTCCTCTTTACTGCCCTTCTTTCAACAGAACGATTTTGAACATTAGTAAGTGTTTCGCTTTGCTTTTTAGTTTCTTGTATGGCTTTAGCAAAGACTTTAGCAACACCTTCACATTTTTTAACAATTTTCTCTCCTGTTGGAGATGGAGGACGAACAATCGGATGATGGTCAACAGTTGTTTCTTTCACTATTTTTGCTTCAGTTTCTTCATTTTGTTGTTTCTAAATTTTAAATATACAAAATACTTTTAACAAAAAACAAACATTAATTATTTCTGATTCTTTGTTTTCATTTACTCTAGATGTATTGGTTTCAATATTAAGTCCTTGAGCACCAAATAAAGCTCGTTGAAAAAGTCGTGACGATGGGTAGTCCGATACTTTACGCTTTGATTTTGGCACTACAACTTCTCGATTGTGTGGACGTTCCGTTACAATAGTCTGATAAAGAAAATGATTTATTTAACTATTTTTAATTCATGTAGGAGGGATTCAAATCTCACAAACCAAAACGATTTTTGGGAAGATTTCTTAAAAATTAATTAAAATACCGCAGTCTTTTCTACTTCCACATCCTTTTCCTCTTCTTTTTCTTCTTCTATTCTTTCAGTTATAATTTCTTCTTCTTTTCTGTCATTGACAGATTCAATATCTGCACTTTTCCCAAGTTCCCCAGTCTTATCCTCATCATTTTCACCAGTCTTATCTTCATCTGAATATTCAATATCAAATCGAGGAGAATCGGCTGATGCAAGAGGAGAAGGCGAACGTGGAGGAGGGAGAATACGAGGGGCATTTGAAGGCTTGAAATATTCCAGTTGAGGATGTACAACGACAGAACGCAACACAGCTCTTGGAATTGCAAAAGTTGTTGAAGGGGGAGGGGCATTGGCTACCGGCTCAGTTTTTGTTGGCTCAATTTTTGTTTGTTTTCGAAGAGAGGAAGGTGGTGATGAAGGCTAAAAATAATTGAGGAAATTGAAGACCCTTCAAAATTAAATAAACCTTTTCAACCTCCTCCTCTTCTTCCTCATCGCTGCTATAATGTTTTTTGCTGCTATGATGTTTTGTTTGCAAGTGTTGCTTCTTCTCAACACGTTTAATTTCTTTTTTAGGTTTAGGAGAATGTACACGTTTAGAAGATTTTGAATGTTTTTCTCGTTTGGATGTTTTTGATGAATCCCTCTTTTCTTTTCTTTTTGGCGATTCAATAGGTTTTGATTTGCTATAAATTGTTAAAAATTAAATTAAAGTCTATCAGAATAGAAAGCTAAAAAGTCGGTACATCCCTAGTAGGCGCGCGGCCATAACGGTGCATATTAAAAGTCTTAATTAAAAGTCTTAACAAATTTAGCATTAAACAATCCCACCCATCGAGCTAAAGAAATTGGTAACAAATTAATAAGGGTCAGAAACTTTACAGCTAGTTATGGCTTTGCATCGTTATGGCCGCGCGCCTACTTGGGCGTGTCCTAAAAAAGTGCGGAAAATTGAAAAATTATTCAGAACAAATTCTTGATGGTCTTTGAATAAACCCCAATTTCGAAATATATTTTAAAAAATAAAATTAAACAAAATTATAACTCGATCAAAACAATTTTTAAAAAACACAAACCTAAATGTTTTAACTTTTTCAGCTTTGCCAAAAAATAAATCATTGCCAGAATGTAGATTTAACTTTTTTGGTTGTTCTTTAGGTTGCACACTCTTTTCAGACGATTCACTCAAAATAGCAGGCAAAGAAGAATTTGAAGCAGATTGTTGTTGTTTTACTTTTTGGAAAAACCCAAATAACCTAAAATTAAATTTAAAAGAAATTTCAAAACAATTTTAAAAAAAATAACCATTCAACAAAACTTGTTGTATTATCCCCCAAAAAAAGTTTCAGATCTGTCTTCATTCTTGTTTTATCCTTTTTATTTCCAACCATAATCATTACCTCAAAAAATTAAAAAATTCTTTATTTAAAAAAATAACAATTAATTTACATAATCAGGCAATTCATCATCCACATCAATTCCATATTCTTCGATTTTTGCACGTACAGCAGCCTTAATAGAAACAAAAATTTAATAAAACTCATAAAACTCTTACCCTTAATTTTCGAGTAAATTCAGAATTATGTGAGACCATTTAATAAAAATATTGATAAACTAATATTGTAGAATGAGGTAAATATATTTTCTAAAAATAATTTAAAATTAATAATTTAAATAAAAAATATTTAAAAATAATTTTTAAAAAATGTTGGCAAATGAAAACAATGGACAACTTAACAAAATTAGAAAAATATTTTTAAATTTAGAATTTAAAAAACACATAGACATTTTATTTGTAAAGGACAGCAAAGTTGTCAACTCGGCATTAACTCAAAAATCCATGCACTTTTACAAGATAAGTTATCAAGGAAAAATTATCTGGCCAAAATCGGAACGTCCCACTTGTGTACCGGCCGTTTGTGTACCTGGCCATATTTTGGGTCATAACTTTTTTGATTCTTAACCGACTTCAATTATTATTATATCAATCGAAAGCCCTGGATGTGAGGATTATTTTCGCCAACAGGATTGATTTGATCAGATCATGTTATAAAAAGTTATATCTCGATAAATGCGCTCAATCGTGATTTTGATCTTTATCTGTCTGTAACTTTTTGTATGATTATCTGATCAAATCAATCCTGTTGGCGAAAATAATCCTCACATCCAGGGCTTTCAATTGATATATTATTTATTTAAATCAATTAAGAATTGAAAAAGTTATGGCCCAAAATATGGCCAGGTACACAAACGGCCGGTACACAATGATCCCCTACCCGGCCAAAATAGCTGGCACTGAACAAACCATTACAAGCTGGTTAAACGCGAGCAATAATTTCGTTTTTAGAGACTACTGTAATCCACATTAAAGTGAATTGTTATTAAGCTATCTACTTCTTTGTTAGTTTTGAATTCTAAAAATCTAAAAAATCTTTGTGTATGTATTCTTCGAACTTGTTTTTTAATATGCTTGCTTCTTACATTTACTTTTTTTCCATTTTCTCATATTAAGTTTAAAAATTTAAGTATATAAAAAGTTATTAGCTTTCTGTACATTATTTTAGGATTTCATGAGTAAATCTTTGATGTCTTCGTATATTTTTGGCACAATAATTTCCTTATTTGTTTTTTCAATATATAAAATATTTTGTCCATTTCACTTTCAACTTTGCAAAAATTGTTACATTAAATAATGTTTTTATACTTTTTATTATCTCTCATTTGTCCATTCATTAAGATAAACAGTTGGCACCAGTAAAGAAAAAATACTGCATTGAATAATCTCTTTTATTGCATTTTGAAGAAGGTAAAAGTGTGAAAACTTTTATTCTATTGATTTTGCACTTTTCTTTGATTTTCTCTTGAATCTAAAAAATTCAGAAATCATTTCCAAATTCAGAATTAAATTAAAATTAAAATCTTCTTTATTTCCATAAATTAATAAAGCCAAAAAATTTATATATCAATTAATTCCAATGTCTGCCCCACCAGTTCCATACAGAGCAGAATCAAATTCCCAACAATATACCCCTTCATTCCCTCCACCTGTCTATTACAGGGATACATTTGGACTTGAACCAGTTGAATATTTACAGGGTGATTGTATAACAGATTCAGATGATGAATCTGGAACTACAAAATCTACTGGTTATTTCTCTTATTTAAATCAAATTTCGTGGGTTTTTAAGTTCGTCACCACAATTTTGTCCGTATTTTCCATCCGGGGCCTTCTACTTCTTGTCAAACTATAGAGCATCGACCATCATTGCCTTTCAGTCAGATTCCCCGTCGAAAATCAGGTTTTTCTACCACAACAAGTAATCATGCTACAATACCTGAAGATCAAACTTCACAACCTAGCACACTTCAGTCAATGCAGGTAATTCTGAAAATCAGGCCCGTAGCCAGGATTTTTTCGGGGGGGGGGGGGGGGGGGGCAAGGGCTACGGACCTGCTGAAAATAAAATTCAAAAAAACATAATTTTTTCACTAGATGGAGGAATTACTTTTAACAGACAAAATTTTGTTTGTTCGTTATGCCCGACCTTTTCTTTGGTTAAGTACTGTTAGTAATTTTTAAAGGGAGAATTTAAAAAGAAATAATAAATTTTTGTAGGTACTTTTAGGTGTTGCTTTACAACTTTTAATATTTTCAATTGTTTGTGTGTTTTTTGATGGTTATTGGGCTGGAATTTGTATTAGCATTTTTCTTTTAATTAATTCTGTTTTGTTAATTATATTTATGCGTTATAAACAAACTCGAATAATGATTGTAATTTTAAAGAAATTTTTTGTTTTCTAAATTCCCTTTTTTAGTGGATTTGTATGATATTTTCAACAATAAGTGTTCTTTTATCAATTATATTATTTACTCTTTGCACTTATTTTACTTATGAAGACAGTATTAAAAGTTTTTCAAATAATGATGAACAACAAATTGTTTCAGCAGCTAATGATAATATTGAATCGAATAAAATTGTACAAAATGCAAGGTGTTTTAATTAAAGAAAAAATTTCCCCAAAAGTGTTATCTACTCTTGAAAAAACTAATGGAACTTTAAATAATTTCTCTCAAACTGTCCTAATTATTTCTGGCTAGTCTATTCGGTAATTTCCCATGAGCCAAAATAAAGTCTTCAATCTTTCAATTAATCCGACTATTAACAATAAAAAATTTTTAATTTAAGGATAGCAATGTATACATGGATGTGTATTTACACACCTATTTATGGCAAGAAATATTTTTATATTTTTAAATATTTTTTAAAAATTATTTAAAGTTATTTGTGGATGTGCTTGTTTATTAATACTTTTAATTAATTATTCTGCAAATAATATAGGCCAAGTTCACAAAGGTTTATTTTTAAGCAGAACAGCTGGACATCAAGTAAAAATATTTTTGTGATCTTTTAAAGTTAGAATTTTTTCTCAGAATGTACTTGTTCCCGTTAAACTTCGTCAAGTCGCAAAAATTGAAAATGGAGAAGTTAGGTCAGAATAATGAAAAATTAAGATTCCTTCATTTTAAACAAAAATTATTTATTCTATAAAATCTTTTCGAAAATGTTTATTTTTATAAAAAGTGAATAAAAATAACAAAAAAAAGTTTTTTTGCAACTCTATAAAAAGGATAATATTAAAGCTATGAATAAAAATAGGTCAAAAATTATGTCGAATCTTTTTAATAAGGAAAGGAAAAAGAAAAAAATATTATTTTTATTACAATTCTTCGTCGTTTTCTTCATCTTCAAAAGATGGAGGATTTATTGAAAATCTTTAAAAAATTAAATATTTTTTTATAAAATTGTTTTTATTCGCACCTTTCACAATATTCTTTGACAATCTGCAACTGTCTACGAGTATTTTCATGTGCTCTTTGTTCCTTTTTTGAAAAAATTTTTAAGAGTTAATATAAATTAATGATTATTTTACAATCTCTATTTTACATTAAAGATCCATTTTAAATTATGGTTACCTCCAAGACAAGGAACTAGTCGATCGAGGGTTTACAAATTTCCTTTTAGTTTAAGGCTATAACCCGAGTTTCTATTTTTTATAATTTGTCTTCTCGGTAAAATAGAGATAGCAAAAATAAAAAAATTCTAACAGAAGACAATCGCGCCCGTATCTGTTCCAATTCCACTTCCAAAGCTCTCTTTTCTTCAAGAGTTTGTTGAAGTCTCCAAGACACATTCTCGTTATCATTTTCTTCTTGTTGTTCTTGTAATGTTCCAGTTCTTAATGCTGGACTTCTTCTAGATAATTGAGAACCAGCACAATAACTTTGAGGTGTAACAACTGAGCGCATTTCTAATGAAAGTTGTTCGTATTGCTGTGGTTGATTGTTTGTTTCTCCATCAATCATTGCATCATCATGAATATTTGAAGATTGAACTGTTACAATTGAGGATGAGGCAACAGGCTTAAAATTTAATTAGAAAACCCCTTTTAATGTTTTTTCAATTACCATAAAACGATAATCGTCTTCAGATGCACAATGATCCAAAGTTCGAAGAGAAGCATTTCTAGACCCTAAATCAATTGATGCTTTCCCCATTTGTTGCATACTACTAACAGGTCTTTGTGGTTGTTGAATACCAAATGATGGAGCTCTAAATAAAATAAGGGGTTTTCACAACCGGATAATTTTTGCCTGTGACGGCTCAAATAATTATCATTCTCTATTCGATGGCACAGGCGAAAATTAATCGATTGTTTCAAAAAAAAATTCTCAAAATGAAAAACTCACGAAAATTTTTTTCGTTCAGGAATAGCATAAAGGGAAGTTGATGAAGGTGGTTGTGGTCCAGACCAAGAGTCACTAGAAGGCGAAACACGAGGTGGAAGTTTTTTCAATTTTTGTTGTTGTTGATTACGTCTTCCAAGCTCTTCTTCTGATTGATCTGGAACAAATACTGATGGACAATTGGAATCTTTAGAAATATTAATAATAATTTCGAAATAAAATAAATTTATTTTTAACCTTCACATCCACGTCTAGGATTTCCATCTAAATTTATATTTTTAAAAATCTCCAAAAATATTTTTAAAAAATTAAAACCTGCTCCAGGCGAGATCATTGTAACCTTAAATTTTAAATAATTATTTTCTCCAATACAAAATCTTCACTTTAATTTGAGTTCTTCCAGTAAGTAAGTCAGCAAGATGTTGTTCATTGTAAGTAAAAAGGGCTGAATTTTCTATCTAAAAAAATGCTCAAAATAAATTTAAAAATTAAATAACCTCAACGACTCTTGACCCTTGTCGCAATCCAACTCTCCAAGCACTCTATTTTAAATAAAACAAATTTTTAAATATAAATATTTAAAAAATACTGCGTTCATATCGACATCTGTAACAATTCCTTCTTCTTGAATATTAAATCCAAAAGATTCGGAAGGTTTTGTTTTTCGAAGAATTACCTAAAGATTATTAAGTATTTTATGAAAATAATAATTTCCAACTTCTTTTGCCTCATCACCAATTGTGACAGCAACAAGCCTCTTTAATAGAAACCCAATTTCTCTTTCACTTCCATCTTAAAATAAAAATATTACAAAATAATTTTAATGTAAAAACCTGGAGAAGGGCACCAAAGTCGAATAATATCACCATGATCATAAAAAATTTTCAACCTAAAAAAGATTAATTCAATTTTAAAATCTTTTTACCCATTATCTGCTATTTGTATCCAACCCAAAATAGAATGTGTTGGTGTAGCAAAAATTACAAGACCTGATGGAACATCCAAAATGACTAAGTTATCAGCGGAAAGCCCTTTAAAATATGTTTAACCCAAGAAAAAACTAAATCCTTACCAAGTACAGCAGGCATTCTTTGATTCAGAGAATGATCGAAGACTTCCACTTGCCTTAAAAGAGCTGGTTTTTAATTGTTTTCAGAAAAATTCTAATATTGTAACTCGAGACAATAACGGAAATCAATAGGGAATTTTTTTAATATCGAAAATCTAATTTCGACCGAATGTGTGTAGTAAGACTGTAATCATAAAAAAACAAACTAACCAGGAAAGAGCGCCACGTAGTCCAGAATCCAAGACAGGCTTGGGCACAATTCTCTCGCGGCGTTTCACCGACCCACCTCCTCCTAGAAGTCTTGATGCAATTCTAGATGCTCCCTTTAAATTTATAAAATATTTTTTAGTTAATATTTCTAACCTCGTTAGAATGGTGTGTAGCTGCATAATTTTCAACCAAATCTTTTAATGCCTCCCTTCTTGTCCGAGCTGCCATTGAAGCAAATTTACGAGATCTATGAACAGCATTTTCTGCATTTATTATCTAAAAATAAATTAAAATATTTTAATAAAAAAATAAAAATAAACTTTAGTGATCAGAAAGTCATGAAAATGGGTACTTTTCTGATATACAGCACTTGAGGAAACTGGAGGTCCAAATGCAGGTACATCTTTGGCACGAGCGACAGCAACTCTATAACTAACATTTTCTGTAAGTGGATTGGATACACGTATAACAATAAAAACTAAAAAAAATATTAAAAGTCGGTAAACAATTTAGAACAAACCGTGTTGAAAATGTGATCTGACTGTTATTGGCGAAAAAGGCAATGCATTTGGCTCTTGGAAAATTATTGTAACCTAGAATGATTTAAAATTTCCTTGTAAATTCTTAAACTAAATTACTAACCATATCATTGCCAATATGTCGCTTTCTTGCCAACTAAAAATAAAATTAAATTTTTGTAAAAGAATAGTCAAATGTCAAGAATTTAGGTTAATAAAGTTAAAATTTGTGGACTCGTCCCAACAAGTAATTTTAAATATAAACCTGTTGCTTATTATTTGGAGTAAATGGGAGCATTGTAGAAACATGAAACATAATCTAGTAAATAATTTAATGAACAAAAAAATTTTTACGAAAACCTGAGCAGAATGGTGTTCAGTATAAATACTATATAATCCTGTAGTATTTCCTTTAGTGTCTAAGCCACCTTTGTATTTGAAGGCATCTAAACCTTTGAGCTTTACTCGAGTGCCAAGAAAATCAAGAAATTCTTCAAAATGTGGAGAAGAATTTTCATTATTATACATCTAATAAATTTAATTATTCTATTTGTAAAAAATAAAAATAACCTGTTCTTCGGTAGATTGGTTATCTTTACAATACAAAACACCAACTTTATATCTTGTATAAATTGGTTGTTCATCTAAATATTTATTAATAAAAAACTGCCAAAAATCCAATAAAAATGACCTATTTTCAGTAAAAGTTCTTCAACTTTTTGAATATTCGTAGTTGGTCTAAGAGAGGCAAAATGAATTTGGGGGCAGACAATATCAAGTAATTCACGCATTAAAGAACGAGTACTGCGATCTTGAGCATCAGAAAGTGCCTCCTCTGGCACAGAAACACGCATTGTTAAAACATCACTTATCCGGAGGACGAGACTGGAAAAAATTTTTAAAATAAATTTCATAGACTAACTTCAGAAAATTTCAGAAAACTTTCAAAAAAAATAAAAATTACCGATAAATATTATGCTGGCTAGACCCGTCTTTAGTCTCCTCTCGGACCATTGATACAACACATGGTCCCTATTTAAATAATTTTTTATTATAGAATTTAATTTAAAAAAAGAACCAAAGTCTCATCCATTCCACAATATTCAATGTGAATTCTTCCAACAAAACAATGTCTAGAAGATTTTTAAAAATTGAAAAAAAACTTTCTCAAGTAAAGAAAAACCTATAATAATAGCTTCCCATATCTTGGGGTTCAACAACAATTTTAGATTGCCTATCAGAACAAAGTTTACCACCCAAATATACATTAGAAACATCCTCAAGTACACCTTAAAAATTAGAAAAAATTGTTTAAAACTCCAAATTTTACCAATTTCAGAAGCTATATGTTCTCTATGCCTTGTTTGAAGACTTTCTTCTTCGGCAGATTTATTTGGAGAAACTTGTGATTTTCCTGAGGTATTTTGATAACAAGTATGCCTAGAGAGAGCAATTCTTCTAACAGGCTCAACACCCAATTCATTTCTTTAAAAAATTTTTACATTTTAAAAATAAATTTTTACCTAAATGCCGGACAAGAGACGAGTAAATCATTTGACTTTCCATCACCTGCATCATCTTCAGATGGACTCTGAGCCTGTGAAGCACCCGTTGGCCCATTCAGACTGGATACATTTAGACCTAAACTCCAAGCATTGGCCAAAGAATTGCAATCATGGTAAGCACATAAATGAATAGATGAAGGAAGCCATTCCCCTTGACTCAAAGAATTACTGCTATTTTGATTGTGAGAATTTTCCTTTTTAAAAGAAAAAATAATAAAAAATATTTTTTAAAAAATTAAAATTACTTTAATTCCCAAATTTGTACCACTTGCAGAATTTGAACTCTTTTCTTGTCCAGCATTCTGTGAGGAATTTTGTTTTATTGTTTGATTTGATGTTGCTTCAATCTTTAAAAGAAATTATAAATTATATTTAATTAAAAAGAAAGTTTTTACTTGAGAAAAAGAAACGGCAGGTTTTTGATCATTTGTAGAACTCATTATTTATTTGTGTCAATACTTTTTGTAATTTAAATAAAATAATAAGAAAGTAATTAATTCATAAATTTTATAATTTATCATTGCTTCATTTAAATGTTTCAATTTTAATGAAATGAAAAAGCTTAGAATTTGTTTGACATTTAAAAAAAATTCTTTTATTTAATCTTTCTAGTATTTAAAAATGAAATTAATTTTTAAGATCAAGCTGAAAATATTAAAGTGGCATTTAGTGGCATTAATGATGTAAAACATACATTTTTTTAAATAAAAATTGTAAAGTAGATACTAGTAAAAGCTTAAAATTTTTGATATAAAAACTTTAACACTCTTAAAGATTTACATAAATTAAATATCTACATACTACCAAAAAAGCTTAAAAACAAAACCAATTTTAAACTCATCCTTAATTGCGTCACAGGAATTTTACTGACTTATTTTTATATTCCCCCCTTATTTTCTGCCTCTTTTGAAGCCTCACAAATTAATAGCAGTTTAAGGAAAAAAGGGACACAAAAAACATCATGTTTGCTCTGGATGTTTCTCTTATATGAAGAAATTTTTATGTGGGAAGTTTTATTCAACTATGCGACAACATGTACATTTATCCTCCCCTCAATACATAAATGGCCAAGTATTTTTGTGGTGTCTGCGTGTGTGTGCCCGTGTCCAGTTTACTGTGTTTAATTTTTCCATCAAAAGACTTTGAAAAAAAAGGGAGGAGGAAGAATATCCTAACTATTGCCTATGTTCGTGTAGCTATAATGTGTGTGCATGCTTTTGATACTCTCTTCTTCTTCTCTTTTTATTCCTTTTTTACTCCTATGCTATTGCGTAAAATATCTTAGCTACTGCTAGGGGCCAAAAAGAGGTTGAGGGCTAAGATCGAGAGTTTGCCCTCAGGGCTAGTAGGAAATGGAAAGGAAGTGTGAAAAAGTATCAGCCTGGAAAAGAATTTTTCGATAAAATAAACTGAAAGGTGTTCAATATTGAAAAAAATGAGAAATGAATTTATGAAAGTTTATAATAAGGGAAATCTTAAATTTATTAATTTTGAGATCCCCTTATTTCTAAATTATTCTTAAAGGAATTTTGAGTTATGTAATAACAAAGGTAATAAGAACAAATGTAGAACAAATGTTGAATAAATTATTTTGAATAATACCATATTTGTATTAAGAAACTTTCATTTCCAAAGTTTTCAATCTCCCCAGTTAAAGCCCAAACATTTTAAATAATTCAAAAAACGAAGGGCTAGAATTTTAAAAATTCGAAAACTAAAATTGAGAAAATCTTTTAGCAATTCTTTCCAATTTTCAGGCACTAAATATGACATGGTATTCATCTCCCTAAACGAGAACAGTCAGGCTGGCCAACTTCTTTGTTCCCGTCGAAATATTTTTTTTCCTTTTTTCAATGACAGAATTTTATTTCACGCTTCATGTTTTTTTTTCAACTTTTGGAATGTATAGGGAAAAATCCCAACATTCTTTTAAATTTTTGATGGATATTTTTTGATGAAGTATAATCAAATAAATTTTTTTTTCTTTGAGAAAATTGTTTCATTTTTTTATTTAAAATAAATGAAATGGAAATTCTCGTCCAATTCTTGAACAATAAGGAAAACCAAAAAAAATACGGCCACCCGCAATGTATAAAAATATAATAAAATGGAAAGCATAACCACCACGTGTCTAAAACAATTTTTTATTCAACTGACGTGAATAAAAAAATCTCCAAGAAAAGTTTTTGTTTGAAAATAACAATAAATCAAATATATTTATATCCAATAAAATTTTCTTCCTATATCCTAAAAGTCGAAATGGAAATTAAAAGAAAATAACCACAAAATACTAACTTCAGAAAGAGAAAGAAATATTTAAATCTAAAATATCTTATTAGCTTTTTTGGAATTTTTGGACTTGGGTAAAAGAACAGATGATTCTTAGAATTCAGCGACACCGTATTGAACTGTTCTTGGATTAATTTTTTAATTTTGTCAAATAAACATCTAAAATACCTACAAGCTTTTACTTAAAACCATAAAATTTATTAAATTTCCTTTAAATAATTAAAATCACCTTTAATTAAGATATAACGATACAAATACAAATATTTGAATTATTTTTAAGATCAATCAATCAATTTAATATCCAAAATAACAATTCCTTCCTTTACATAATTTGAAGAGAAATTCCAAAATGATAGCCAATATGTTTAAAATAATAACGACGAAAACCTTCACGAGTCTCCTCCACACGATCTTCCGGAACTTGTTCAGCCTTTACTTGCAAATCGACACTGTCCCCCTTTAAAATTTCACAGATTATTTAAGAATTATTAAACATACTTTATCATGCAAAATTAAAATAATGTTCGCCCAAACATCCTTCGGGAATGATTTTAAACGCCATTTCTTAAAAAAATTCTTTTTTATAATTTAAATTTCAAAAAACCATAGAGATTTGTTTATCCTTGATAAGAGATGTAAAAGTCCCAGAAATAGCTCCTAAAAAGAAAAATAAAAAAAATTTAAAAATAAATGACCAGAAAGCATTGAAAAAGATCCTCCATCACGTGCATCAATTGTAGAATCTGGACACCAAACAGGAACTAACTTAGATTTAAAATTATAGTTAAATAATTAAAGGAAAACAATTTAAATAAATTTTTGAATGTTTAAAACTAATTCTTTGCCTTTTGACTCGAAAGAGCAAATTCTAAAATTATAAGACAAGAAAAAGAAAGAGAATTTTTAATTTTCTCCCTTGATTTTCATGATAAAAAATATAACGTTTATTTTACATCAATAAACCGCCTAAAGAAACACAGTCAAAGAAAAATGAAAAACTCCAAATTTAAATAAAAACAAAATTGCAGCTAGTAAAACTCCCCCAATATTTTATTAAAATTTATTTACAAAAACAAACCGATGGATCAGTTAATATTTCATATAAACGCTGTGGCGCAACTTTAAATGATTCCACAAGTTCAAAATTAACAAAAGAAACAACTTTGTCAACTAAATAAAATTTAAAAAATATTTTTAAAAAATCAATTTTAAACCTTTAGCTTCAGAAGCACTTTTATTTAAAGTATCACTATTTCTGACGACAGTTCTCGATTTGGAAGGAGCTGATGTTGGTGTAGTATTGCGTGCAGAATCAGTTGGTAGAATTAATCCTTGACTACAAAAAAGAAAAAAAATTAAAATAAATTTAGAAAAAAACAAATTTCCAACCTATATTCCTTCTTTAGATCAACAATATATTTCCCGATTTGAGAACGAACAAGTTCTAGAACTTCTTTATTAAGCAAATTAAACAAAAAAGAAGTCTCAGGACCAGCATCTTTAATAAAAGACGAAGTCTGAAAAAATAAAAGTTTAAAAACGATGTTATCTCTTTGGCTAAAATAAACTTTCTTTTGTTAGATAATATTTAAAAAACTAAAATCGCTAAATTAAAAATCTAATATAAAGAAAATCTTCTCCAATACATTTCAAAGAATCATTTTAAATGCCCACAAAAACTTTTTCTTTTTAATTAGAAAAATAATTGGAACCCCAACAGACTCCAAAAATGTCTTTTATTCTTAATAAAAAATTTAAAAAAATACTCGTATTTCATTTGCTTCAAATTCATCACTCAAATTTTCAATCTGTATAGTTCCAGTATAAACCATAGCCGAATCAATCACGGCAGCTATATAAAATATTTTTTATTAAAATTTTTTCTAAATTTAAAAACCGGTAAAATCGATAGAAATTGTCCATTCATAGAAAAATATAAGCTTTCCTTTTCGATTATTAGCACTTGCCTCTCCTCAAAAAATAAATTAAATTAATTTTTAGACAAAAAAACCTTCAATTTTCCCCAATTGAGTAAAATCAATTTTAACATTTTCATTTTCAAAAGTTTGATTAACCAATAAATCCTTTAATCTTTGAATTGACCATTGAGTAGCGTCTTTTTCAACCCTAAAACAAAAGTTCAGTTGGAATTAATAAATGTTAACAACAAACCAATGCCAATTGTTAACATTTGTTGCATCAGGACCTTTAAATTAAATTTTACACAAATCTTCTTAGATTTGTCAATTAAATAATTAATTATTGAATATTTATTTAAAAATAACTTACGTTCTTCCACTATCCAACGAGGGTCTTAATTAAAATAAATTTATAAAAAAATAAATTTCTAATAAAATTACCGCCTTCACCCCACCTCGCCATTGAAAATAAAATTTAATAAATCTAAAAATTGTATTTTAAAAATAAACTTTTATCTAACAAAATTAAGCGAAATTTCTACTTTATTCGCGAAAATTTCTTTTGTTGATTTTCTTTGGCAATTCCCTTTTCTTGGCATTATGTATTTTTTGAAAAACTAGAAATTTAACAAAAAAATTCTTTTTAATTTTTAGAATGACAAAAAATAATTTTTTTCGTGACGGAGTTACCTACTTAATTATGCTTTCTGGTATAATCTTTGGAGCACATTTTTTCCAACGAATAAAATTTGAATTTAGAAATAAAAGACCTACTGATCCTGTTATTGTTTGTTTTTTTTTAATTTTAAATTTTTTTTTCAATTAAATTTTTAGGTGGAAAGTTTGCAAGAGTTGGGTCTTAGCTCAAAGAAAACTACTGAACAACTTTATAAGGTTTGGGATTTTTTTTGTTTATTTATTTAATGTTTGGTTAATATAAATTTTATCTTTTTCTAAAAATTTTTGATTCACAATTCAGATGCTTTTAATTTAGAAATTCTTTTTTTGGTTTCCTTCAATTATATCCTTTATTAATTTAAAATAAATAGGTTTGAAAATTTGCAAAAAATTTTAAAGGTCTTATACACTTCATTAATTTTTATAGTCAACAAAATTAATCAACAATTCCCAATGTCTAATTTATTTCAAAAATCATTTTTCTTTTCAGGAGATGGTTGAATCAACCTCTGATGATGATTGGGAGAATATTCGAGGTCCTAGGCCTTATGAAGATAATTCGGAATATTTAAGAGCAAAGTTTTTTTTAATTTTTAAAATAATTTTAAAAATAATTTTTAAGAGAAAAGCAACAAAAAGAGCGTCAAAAACAACAAGAAGAGCGTAGGAAGTTGTTAAATGAATCGAGTAAATTTAGAAATGCTTTGAAGAGGGAATTTAAAAAACCTGAAGATAAATAGAAATTTTGTTAGAATTTTTTTTTGTTTTTAAATTTATTATTTTTGATTAATAATTATTTTTAGCTCTACACTTTTTAAATGTTTTTGTCAAAACTTCTATTTTTAATTTTATTAAAAATTTTTTTTAGTTTTTAAAAATTTTCTACTCAAAAGCAATTTTTCTTTCAATTTATTCAATGGGAGGTTAGAAAATTTTCATTTTAACAAATATTTAAAATTTTTAAGCTAATTGGTCTAAATCTGTCCCAATTTTAAATTATATTCCTGGCTTGTCTTTACCTCACAAGGTTGATAATAAATTAATTTTTGAAATTTAAAAAGATTTTTTTAGATGTAAGTATTCAGTATTAATAATTTAATTAAATAATAATAAAGGGTTTTTGTTGTAAATACTTCATTAAAAATGGGGGCAGGAAAGATGGCAGCACAGGTTTTGAATTTTTAAATTTATTTTTTAAATTAATTTTTGTAGGTTGGGCATGCAGCTGTCGGTCTTTATAGAAATTGCCAAATGAGTGGAGAACAAGTAAATGTTTTTAAATTAATTTTATTAAAAACATTTAATTTTTAAGGGACAAATGTCGTTAAATCAATGGAGAGAAAATGGAGAAATGAAAATTGTTTTAAAGGTAAATTTTTTTAATCTTTAATACAAAAACTTTGAAGTTATTTTAAAAATTTGTAAAAAATATTTTTTTTACACTTTTTCTCAATTTTTAACCACGGTGCTTATTTACTTTAACATAAGTATACAACCCATTTATTCACAAATTCAAAATAGTCAAAGTAACTTTATTGAAGTCGGCAAGGCACTTGTCTCTCGGGAGTCTACGTGTCCACAACGGTTGCTTGGTTTTGTGTGCATTACATAAGCCTACTGATATCTTGCGAATACTTAAATTAAATAAGTTCCACCAAAAACCCTCTAATTTCATTAATTAAAAATTAAATAAATTCCTCGTTTTAGGGAGAAAATGCATCCCAATTAGACGAATTAAATAGAAAAGCAAAAGATGCCGGTGATGTTTTTGTTTATCTTGTACGTGATGCAGGGCATACACAAATCCCTGCTGGGTCTAAAACTGTGTTGGGAGTTTTTGGAACAATCGAGGCTGTTGATAGAATAACTGGGGGATTGAAACTTTTTTAAAATTTTTTGAATATTTGTATCTCTTTTTTTAAATAAATTTAAAAACAAAATATTTAATTTAATTTAAAATCCATTTATTCCCTAACAAAAAAAATATTGCACATTAAAAAGAAAATTTTATTAAAAATTTAATTTTTTATTTTCCTCCATATGCAGAATATCCTCCCTGCTGTCCGGGCATACAATTTGCAGCAAAACTATTATACCCGCTACCTTATCCAGTATTACTATATGGAGAGGCGGCATAACTAAAAAGTTTATTTAAAATATTTTTTTCTTAATTGTTTCTTTAGTTTTATTCTTAAAAGGATTTTCAATTTCCTGTGAGAGAGAAATTTCTTTGTCTTTTTACTGATTAATTTTAGTAATTTTGAAATCTTTTGTTTACAATTAAAAAACACCAAAATAATTGTTAAGTTGAATATATGTTATATCTTGGAAGAAGTTTTGAAGATTGTCTTATATTTTAAGTTATCTAGCTTTATTTTTAATTTACTACATACCCGCTATAACCGCTCATACCAGTTTGGCCATAACCTCCTGCGCCGTAACCTCCTGTCCCTCCATAACTTCCATAACCGGTTGCACCATAACCACCTCCGTATCCACCCCCATATCCAGCATTTCCATAACTAAAATTTAAACAATTTTGAAATGATTGGAAATATTTTTAAGAAATATAAAATTTGCCCTGCTTGGCCATAAGCACCATAACCACCCATTTGGCCATAACCACCACCCATTGCTCCATAATCACAAGCAACTTGAGAAAATACAGTAGAGTTTTGCAATAATATCAATAATGAGAGGAAAATGAAGTGAAAAGATGAGCTTTTGAGGGAGGAAAAAATTATTTTAAAATTGTTTTTTGAATATAATTTAGCTTATTATTAAATTAAAATGGATGCTTCTAGGCAAGATTTAAAAAAGGCATACACATTTTATTAAAACCCTTCCTAATTTAGCTAGCTGTTCAAAATTAAAAACTTACAATCCTTTGTATGAAAGCATTTTATTTAGTTTATAAAAATTTAATAAAATTTTAGGGAAGAAAAATTTAGTTTAAAATGAAGGAGAATTTATTTTTCTTTTTAGTAGATTATATTTTTATTTTTGCTTAAAACTTTTCCAAGGCCAACACATTTTATATACCCCAAAACTTTTATTTATTTACCTCAAAACTTTAAAGTTTTTTTTTTCTATTTTTGTGACCTCAATTTGTTTAGACTTTTTATAAACATTTATTTACTTAAATTCTTTTTTTTAATCCACTCAATGTGTGGGAGAAAGAAGAAATATAAAAAGATTATATTTAGACGGAAACACCCGTTTTTATTGCGCAACTCAAAAATAAAAAAAAATTTTGTGAACATTATAAAAAAAGAAATAATATTAACAAAAAAGCAGACAAAAATCTGATTATTTTTTGAAGTTTTCACTGTTGGATACTTCATTTTGCAGTAACTCTTGATTGTAATAAATCTCTCCCTTTCTTTTTTCAAAAATTCTAAAATCCGCAAATTTTTGTCCGCAAAAATTATTCACAATTTACTTTACAATTTAAGCTGGAACGAAAATAGTATTTACGTAAAAAATGAATTAATAAGAAAGAAAAAAAGCAAAAAATATAAAGTAGATGTAGCTACAAAAATGCACCAATTTGTTTGTAGAGAAGAAAAGGATTAATTAAAAGCAACAACAAAAATAAATATAAAATTAGTGGAATTGTTTGAGAATATAAAAAAATATGTATGTAAAAGAAGTAATGTATTGTAAAAATAAATATATTTTAATAATTATTTTCCTTCTCAAAAGTATTTTATAATTAATTTTTTAAAAAATCTTTTTCGAAGAAATGCAATCAGAATCAGAGGTTTTTTCTGATTGGGGGATATTTTCTGATTTAATTAAAAATATTTCTTTTCTGAAAGTTATAGAGAAATCAGAATAAAATAATACATGAGAGAGATCTACTATTCTTTAATAGTCCTCAAAATTAAAATTTCTATTTCTTAAATTAAAACAAAATTTTTTTTACAAATTTTTGATTAATTTTGTGAAGTTATTTCAACAACTTCCTGTTCTTCTCCTTCTTCCTCCTCCTCTTCTTCATCTTCTTCTTTAACTACAGATGCTCTTTGTTGTTGTTCTCGTTGTGTATTTAATCTATTTTGGCGTGATTCAAAAGAAAAAAGAGAGGCTGTAGGTGCTGAAGCAATTACTGAGCTATATGGAGGTGGGGGTTGTTGTGGTGGGAGGGGTGGTTGTGGAGGTTCTTAATTTAAAAAATTTAAGGAAAATAATGAATGTTTTTAATATCTGAAGGTTATTTTTGGGGAAACTTATTTGAACCAGATTGTAAGCCTTGAAATAAAGGAGAAAAGGAAAAAATGGGATTGGATGATCCAATAAGGATAAAGATATACCGGTGGTAAGGTTTCGCTATAAGACCTATGCTATTCGACTCAGCTCGTCGAGACGAATCGGATTGTATGGGTCTTGCATCGAAACCTTACCAACGGCATACTATACTACAGCTTCGGATAATACCGAATTTTAAAGTTTAAACAAAATATGTTTCTCCCAAACAAATAAGAGAGGTAATTTCCCTCATAAAAACTAATAAAATTTTTATTTAAATTACCACATTCTTTTTCAAAATTATTTATTGTATTATTAAATAATGGACGGCTACTAGCTTGCTGTTGTTGTTGATAAGAAGAGGCTATTTGGTAATGATGGTATGGACGTTGAAATGAGCGCCTTTGCTGTTGGGCATTATTAAATTGTGGACGGCCTTAAATTTAATTTTAAAGAAAGATTCTTTCAGAAAATAATTTTTTTACAAGAAAATTCTGCTGAATCGGCAGCTGAGCATGTTGATCTTCCAATTAATATATTAGAGTTACTACTAGCTTTTCTTCTATGCAATAAAGGACAAAACCGAGTACGTCTACATAAATAAGAGCAACAAATAAATAATAAAAATATTAATGCCAAAATTAAAAGTACTAGTTCTGGAATATGTCTAGAGGAAAATAATTACTAAAGAAATTATTGAGCAATTGTTTTTACCCCGAAATAAATTTCTTTCGAGCTTCTGATGCTAATTCTGATTCTAATTCATTTTTGTGTTGTTCTGTACCTAAAAATTAACTTTAAATTTTAATTAAAAAATAAATTAAATAATTTACAGTCAATTATTTACTCTCTATTTAACATAAAATAAACTTTTGTTGGCAAAGAAATGGAGAGAATTGGTAGCCTTTATTGAGAGAATACCCCTATAATAATTAACTGTATATAAAATAGAAAGGGTTTTGAGACTTAAAAGTAAATAGAGAATTAATTAATTGACTGTACTTAAAATACCGTAAATGCTCTAATTGAAGCCCGGCTCTATTAGAAGCTCATATCTAATATAAGCCTTCCCAAATTGACCTATTGAAGACATCCAGGGCTTTAATTAGAACATTTACGGTTTATTATTATTTTTAAATTCAAAAATATATGTACAAACAACAAAAGAAAGATCCACTGGTTATTTGTGAAGGACAACAGGCTATAAATTTAAAAAGAAAATATATTTTTTTCTCTTTAAAATTACCAATTTCTTCTGGTTCATCTTTAAAATCTGGACATATTTTTATACTTTTAGTTAAACTTTTAGTTTCTTCATTTTCTTCATTTAAAGAAGATAAACAAATTTTTGAATTAATTAATGATATATTTAAATTAAAAAGAATAAAAAAGAAAAATAGTTTTTTTGAAGAATTGTTGTTGTTGTAATAGGCACTCGAATGTATAAATAATATATTCATCATTTTTATCCATTAAATTTTTAAAAAAAGAAAAAAGAGAAAATATATTAAAATAAATCTAAAAAAATAAAAAAAAAATTTTTTTTAAAGAATAAGGGAAGTCCCGTTTCCCGTCGATTCCCGATTTTTTAGCCTCCTCCCGTTTTCCTTCTCTCCTATCGTTTGAGAGATTTAGATTCTCGTACGACTCCCAGTTCGGTCTTTACTTCTTTTACAAATTTAAATAAAATAAAGCTTACATAGACGTATTAAGTTTTTAAATTAATAAAATATTAGAGAATATATGTGTTGTTGACAAATAAAAATATTAATAAAAATTAGACAATAAAATATGACAATAAAATGTATAAAATGGATGAAATAAAAGAATAAAAAGGGTTAATAACAACAAAAAATAAAAATAAATTTATTTTTTTTAAATAAAATTATTAACACATTTTATGTTATAATAACTGTAATAGTTAATGTTAGCTTCAGAAAAAATTTAAAAAAAACGAATTTATACTATTAGTTAAGTCTAAATTTGTTTGTCAACAAATTAAATTTATATGTCTACCATATATCCTTTAACAACTACCTTGGGTAATTATTGTTTCGACCTTCTGCTGGAAGGAGTAATTAATCAATGGAGGGTAATTATACGAGATTTGAAATTTGAACGTGTCTTAGGGCATTTGTTGGGGGTAATTATTGTTTCAATCTATCGCTGGATGAGGTAATTAATGGAAGTGGGGTAATTATTTGAGGGAGGGCAATTAACACAAGTTATACGGTATATAGATTTGAATGTTTTGTAGTAATAAAGAATTAAAAAAGGCCCAAATTTTTTAAAAACTGTTTAATATTTTTACTTTTCTGCAACCTATTCTTGGCTTTTCATGCTTATTTTCTCGTTTTTCTGGGACATTTTAGATTGCCTATTTTAATATTTTTACAATCTACAAATCCTTAACTAAAAAGAAAATCTTTGTAAAAATTTTTTTTTTTGACATTTTAAAATTCAATAAATGTTTTTTTCCTTGTCATCATCTTTTTTTTTATTTATTTCTCCGCTACACACAAAAAAAATCTCCCCAAATTGAATAAAAAAATAAAATAAATTTAAGGAAGGGCAATGAAAAAAAAAGAAAAAGAGGACAATGCCAAAAAACGACAACAATTCCCCGGATTGAATTCTTAATGAGTTGACTGACAAGGAATGGACAAGAAAAGAAAATAATTTTTTGGGACATTAAGGCACAAAAAAGATTTTATTTAGACGTGAATTTCTAAAAATTATCAAAATAAAATTAAAAATCATTAATTTTCTTTTTTAAATTAATTAATAATTTTTAAACAATTTAAAAAGAAATTCTGAATTTTTTTTTAAATTTAAATATTTATTTTATAAGAATTAATTAAAAAATAATTTAATTAAAATCCTCCCCCACCCCTCCTCACTCTCTTCCCTTCCTCTAATTTTCTCCTTTCATAATTTTCTCAATCCTTCGGGGAACGGAAGACACGGGCCAATTCTTTTTACTTTTCATCAAAAAAGTGGTAAAAAGCACGCAAATAAATTTACTTTTTGGAGGGAAATGTTTTTTGGAAAGTTTGTTAAAAATAAGAAAAATAATTTTATTAAAAGGCAAAGTTTTTCTTAAAATCCCTTAGGGAGAAGAAAGAAAAAAAACCTTTTTTAATTACCTACAGTGGCGGAAATTTAAATAGGGAAAGGGTAAACCCTATGTAATTCCGTTCATATTTATCCGATCTGACAGATCTAAATTTTAAAAAATAGCTTAATTCCTATCTCACTTGACATGTTTCAGCGTTTTTCAAAATTCTGATAATTTCGAAAACTTTTCGACCGGTCTAACAGGTACTACATTTTCGACTTTTCGGAGAAATTTTTTTGAAGTCTGTAAATTTTATATGTGATTCTCCTAAAGATTCTGAATACAATGCTAAAAACCGCATCCAAATCGGTCGAAATTGTATAGAGTTATGAATTTTTAAAAATCGAAAAAACCCCCATTTTTTGCAAAAAAATCGACAAAAAATGGCAAAAATGGTGTTTTTTCGATTTTCAAAAATTCATAACTCTGTAGAATTTCGACCGATTTGGATGCGGTTTTTAGCATTGTATTCAGAATTTTTAGGAGAATCACATATAAAATTTACAGACTTCAAAAAAATTTCTCCGAAAAGTCGAAAATGTAGTACCTGTTAGACCGGTCGAAAAGTTTTCGAAATTATCAGAATTTTGAAAAACGCTGAAACATGTCAAGTGAGATAGGAATTAAGCTATTTTTTGAAATTTAGATCTGCCAGATCGGATAAAGATGAACGGAATTACATAGAGTTTACCCTTTCCCTATTTAAATTTCCGCCACTGTAAATGTATATATTTTTTGTTAAAAAAAAGAAAAAAAAGGTTTTTTGTTATTAATTATTTTTTTTAATTAAAAAATTTTTTAAATTTCAAATAATTCCTTAAAAAACAATTATATAATATGTAGAAAGAAAAATAAAAGGAGAATATTTGTAAGTTCCTTCAAATATACCTATCCTTAATTAATTAACATTTAAGTGAAGGAAAATAAACTTAGTCGTCTTATGTTTTATATAAAATGATTTGTTATGATTGTTAAAATATGTTTAATGATCGTATTTGTTAGTACATTTCGGGCTCGGTTGACATTGCTGCAAAATTGAGGATAGAAAAAAGTCTGACCATTCTGTACATACATATTAAAAAATGAATGAGGAAAAGGAAAATAAAAACGCAGCCGATAATTCGATAGTATCAAAAATCGTTATAAACTTTTTAAAAAAGAATTTAATAATACATATGTACATTCATAAATTCAAAAACATTTTTTACAATAAATAATTTAAAAAATAAAAATATTCTAGTTGCCAAATGTTAAATCTAAAAAAGTATAAAAAATATAAATTTAGAGAAACTTTTAATGTATAAATAATGTGTTAATGCATATATAAATTTTTATAAACAAAAATTGTTGTGTGAGAGAATAAGGGGGGAAATGAATTTAAAAAGTAAAAAAAACATAGGGGAAAAGAAGCGGGGATAAAAATAAAAATTTTAAATTATGTTGATTTTATCTAAAAATATTTTACAAAAAAAATTTTGTAAATAAAATGGAGAAGAAAGATTAAAGAATGTAGATTATCTTAAATTAATCAAAAATAAAATAAAAATTAGTTGAACTTTTTTATATTTAAATTTGGAAAATAACTATAATAAATTCTCTAAATAAATCCTCACTAAAATTTTTAATTCCATAAAATATCTATTATATGTATTCTAAATTTAGTGTTTTAATTAAAATTAATTTATTATAATATAATATAAAAAACCCCAACTTGCCCCTATTTTTGGGGGTAAAATCCCTTTCAAAAATTCCGCCGGCCGAAGGCCGGCGGCTGGAATTTTTTGAAGGGTACATTTGTCCTGCAACTTTTTACGCTCTATTCAGGAAAACTATAACCTCGGCACTGAAACGTCGTTTTCGCACTGAAACGGCCAAGGGTGGTTTTTCAAATGGAAATAACTCGGGAGGCAAAAGTTGGATCAAAAAGTGTCTGCTGGGAGGCGATTAAGTTGGGAAAGGTACTATATCGTAGGAAAAATTTCGGGACCTCTGGGTGGACGGTTGAGTGCGATGTGCCGTCGCGAAAATTGTGCACTTCGTCCAAAAATGACACATGGTGTCCGACGAAATTCACCGACAATTTATGATTTATATGCCAATCGATAGAGATCCATGAGTAGGTTCTGGGAAAATTTGGTTCAAATTTTTCTGACCATTTTGGGCAGAGTTACAGAAGGTCAAAGGTCCAAAATGTCCAAAACCCCTAACGTGAAGGGTGGCTCCCATCGAGTGTAATTATAAAAGTGGTTAAACTTGGGCCAACGGTTTCAACTCTTTTTTGGTATGTTAGGGCACTAAATGTACTACAATTTTGTTGGGGGACACTTGAGTCTGGGATTTTTTCCTGACATAGTTATGGGCACCAAAGTGACCACGCCAAAACCGACTTTTTAACGCGTGAATTGAAACTTGATTTGAGTATCCTATCTTGTAGAGTGTCCCTTGAAACCTCTAAAAATATATACTTTGTTGGGGGTACACTTGAGTCTGGGAAAGATATACTCAAAAAAGTGGCATTTTTGGGGCCAAAAGTGGTCGGTTTTTTGAGTATAACTCCGCGGAAAAGATTTTTAAAAATAAACGGACTTTAGATTCGTGTTCAGCACCTATTGGAGCACCATAAAACATATTTTTCTCGAGGTCGAATTTTTGACCCATTTTTGGAGTGGTACCCCTTTTGAAATTTTTTGGCAAAATTTAAATTGGTCATAACTTTGTAAGTTTTTGTCGTATCCAAACGAATTAAAGTTTATAAAATAGAGCAAAAAATTACAAATTTTTTGAGCTATTTAAATTTTCGAAAAATTTCACGCAAGGCCTGGTAGGGTCGATTTTTTGAAAATTCAAAATTTTTCGGTTTTTTGAAATTTTCTGGGGTATATCGAGGTGAGGGTGGTTAAAAATATTTTTATAAAATACTACAGAACATTTGCTATATATTAAGCTTTTAAAATGGTTTAAAAGGGTAACTTTTTGGAAAGTTATGATTTTTTGAAAAATTCGTTTATTTTTCCGGCCAAAATTTTCGGCCAAAAAAATTTTTTTCCCAAAATGGGTATAAATGGGTCAAATGTTATATCAATCGAAAGCTCTCATCGAGCTGAGCTTAAAAATATTTTTTGTAAAATTTTCTGACCATTTTGTACAAAGTTACAAAAGGTCGAATTTTCGGGGGTGGGGGTTTGGGGCCTAAGGCCCCCAACGGTGCGAGGGCCGAAGGCCCGAGCTTAAGACCCATCCCAAAACGAATCGCGAGGGCCGAAGGCCCGAGCTTAAGATCCGTCCCAAAACGAATCGCGAGGGCTGAAGGCCAGAGCTTAAGACTCATCCCGAAAGGAATCGCGAGGGCCGAAGGCCCGAGCTTAAGATCCATCCCAAAATGGATCGCAAGGGCAGAAGGCCCGAGCTTAATATCGATCTCAAAACGAATTGCGAGGACCGAAGGCCCGAAGCAATGAAAAGGCAGGGCTAAACCTTGCCGGCGAGGGCCGAAGTCCCGAAGCAATGAAAAGGCAGGGCTAAATTTTATCGGCGAGGGCCGAAGGCCCGGAACAATGAAAAGGCAGGGCTAAATTTTATCGGCGAGGGCCGAAGGCCCGGAACAATGAAAAGAAAGGGCACATCTTAATGTTTCTAGCAGCGCGCGAAGCGCGCCCCAAAGCCGTTAGGCTTTCCAACGGGCAGAGCAAAATTCAAACCCGAAGCAAAATTAAACTGCCAGAGTATGCTATTCGCCGCCATACCCCAATGGGCACAACTAGTTGTAATTATAAAAAAATAGATTTAGTTATTTTAATTAAAAGTTACTAAAATATGGAGACGTCCAAAGCAAAATGCTAAACTTTTGGCCCAACAAGGCAAATGTTTGATTTTTTCAATATTATTTTCATTTTAGGAAGTATTTAAACTTTTGATGCCCAAGGCTACAAAATTTTTGATTTTTTAGCAAGTGAAGATTTTGGAGGGGAAAGAAGGGAAGGAAAATTAAACTTATTGTGGACACATTCGAAATTTCCTTAAATTTTATCCGACTACAAGGGGAAATTTATAAGAAAGACTTTCAAGAAAGTCGAGACCCAAAACTCAAGACAAAACCCCCAAGAAAAGTCAAGACTCAAGACTAAGAGCCTTGCAAGTCTCTACTAAAAAATCTCAAATTATTTTAAATTAAAAATATATTTATAATTAATTTGTTAATCTTTTTTACACTTTTCAAGGTTAGAAAAAAATTAAAAAAAAAAGAAAAAAATAAAGCGACACAATGCAAGTGACAGAAGACTTGAAAATGTAAAAAGGAGGTAACGACAGCTGGGAGGTTCGCTTGTGTAAATGAATGAATGAGAGGAATGAATACGCCACCTTCCGTGACCAACCAACCAAACGAATAATGAAAAAAGAGAGAAAAAGAAAATAATTTTTTTAAAAACGTTTATTAGAGTTTTTAAAAATTTAAGATTTTTTTAAATTATTTTTAATTAATTTAAAAATTAATTTTAAAAATATTTTTTGAAAAATTAAAAACAATAATTTTTTATTTAAGGAAACATTCAGAAGATAAAAAATAAAATTTATAAAAAAAATTTTCGAGGACTTAAATAAACTCTAAAAATCCTGTAGAGAATAGAGAAAAAAATAATAGTTAAATCGAATCGCGCAGAGCTCTCTATATTACTTTTTTTTGGCTGTCAGGAAATATTATATGAAGTGACAGTCATTGATTAGTCAGTCTGCGCATTGAGTAAAAAATTGAAAAAAAATAAAAATTGTTTTGTTAAAAGAGGGTAATTAGAGGGAATTTTTGTTTTTTTTTAAAAAAGTAATCTCGAAGGTATTAATTGAATAGAATGGGAAAAAATGTTGACAAAGTTATTGGAACAAGTATAAATTAATTCTCATGATGAAATATTTGAGGGAAAAAAGTGTTACTTTCTATTTAATAATTTTTGAACGTGTTAGAGGATGACTAATAATTATTTTATATATCTATAGAACAATTCAAAAATTATTTTTATAAAATAACAAAAAATACAATCTCCTCCTACTAATTTAGTTTTGAAACAAATTATTTAAGGAATATTTTCCCAAAAAATCTTTAATTTAATTTCCTCTTCTTAATATTTTAATAAATTGCCAATCAAAAAAAAACACTTAATCAAATATTTTTTAAAATTATATTTTTTAAATTAAAGTAATAATGGCCAAAAAAATCAAAAATTACCAAACTTTTCTCCAAAAATATATTTACAATCATCCAAACATCGATTGGCCCTATTTATTTTTTTTCCGTCATCGCCTCTTCAACTTTTTTGTTTCTCAATTTTCATGCATTTTTTGGACGGGGAATAATAAGTGGGGGAATAACGGCAAAAAACAAAGAAATAAAAATGGGGACGTTAAAATGCCATTGAGCTCTTTTTTTAAATGCCTCTTTTAAGTAAAATATTATTTTAATATTTTTAAGTCTTTTTCTCTTTTTTTAAAGAGAAAGGAAAACACGAGAAAGGAAAACCTTCAAAAAAATTTAATTGTTCCGACTTTATATTGTTTACAGGAAAATAATTTTTAAAAAATAGTAAAATTTCAAAAAAGGAGGTTAATTCTATCTGCTTGAAAGGAATAATAGAAATTTTCATTTTTATAAATTTTTGGCTTTGGGTGCAGTCTTGGGCTTAAGTCTTGGAAAATTTTAGGTTTTGAACTTCTCGGGTATAAATGCCACCAAAGGTCCACACATCAAGGAATAGTAAGGTCGATCCAAAAAAACCCCCTTCGGGTAAAAAACGAAAATATTCCTTTCACATTTTCTATCAAATATTTTTCATTTGGAAAAGAGAATTAAAACCTTCTGTACCAAATTTAGTTGTTATTTCATTAATATCTGCATTCTTAAAAAGAACTTCAAGATTGCTAGCTCTATCGATCAAAGAGTCTTTTTTGCGCCATGTAGTCGAAGAAGTTGGAAGTTGTACAGAATGAAATAAATTTTTGTTTGTTGATCCGTTAAGATTGTTGTCTTTTTCAGACGATTCTATAAAAATTAAAAAATTATTGTTTTATCGATTTTGAAAAATTATGCTGGATAAAATCATTAACCTAAAATAATTAAATCTGGATTTAAATCCATCGAAGCAATGTTTCGTTCCCATGGCTACGTTCCTGGATTTTATTAATTAACACTCCAGGAATTAATCAAAATTGAGTTTCCAATGCTTAACTTATCCACCAATTAAATCCCCAAAATTTCCCATTAAATCTCTAAATCCCAACAGTCTTCAAAAAACTAACCATTTTCCTTCCCAAACAATATTTGTTCTCCCAATTGAAACAGACCACCTCCACCAACATTACTATCATCGTCTAAATCAGCAGAATTAATTTGTTGATCATTTATCCCATTTTGTTGTATTTCATTTTCCTCCTCCTCTTCATTATCAGAAATATCAATTTCACCAAATTTTCGTTTTATTCCTTTTTTGTTTTGTTCTAATTGCCATTCTAATATTTTTATTCGTTTTTCTCTTCTAGTCTCAACCTCTCCATCATCTTCCTCATTTAAATCCTCTCCATCTTCAATGTTAAAAATTTTGGACCAATCAATTTTTGAATCTCCTTGCATTCTAAAACGAAAGCTTCGGTCACTGCTTCCAACCTTAAAAAGTTTTTAAATTCAAGTAATACCCAGAAAAATTCGGAAACTGAAGAGAAGAGACTAATAAAAATTTTGATATAACTTTTCAACATTTTAAATTTTAAAATGAATTAAATTTTCAATTAGAATTTTTTTCATGAAAATCAATAGGTACTAACCAGATTAAAATAATTTTAAAAAATACATGGTTGTGTAGATCAGAATCAGCAAAAAACGCCTCTTGCAATTTTAACAAACGTTTATCATCTGCATCCCTTTCATATTTATTATATTGTCTAATTAAATTGTCTCTAATTTCATCTTCATTTAACTTTAAAAATAATTAATTTTAAAATTTTTAACAGAAAAATTCGAATACCTTATCATGATCTCCTTCTTCAGCTTCATATTCATCCATCCCTTCAATATCATCCATTTCGTCGCGATCTGAACCAATATCATCACCAGACAGAGATGCTTCATCGTCAAACATTTCTTTTCTAAAAGAAATTTTTTAAAATTAATATTCCAAAAATACTTTTTTCATTAAATTAAACCTTCAAATTTTAATTCACTTACAAATTTTGTTGTTTTGATTCTGCTACATTTTTAGGGATTTCTTCTTCGAAATCTTCCTCCTCCTTTTCTGCTTCATCTATTGATTTATCCATTTGATTATCTCCATCATCATCTTCAACAGTGAAAAGGTCAACAACGCTTTGGTTAACAACTAGTTCAGATTGAATATATACTTCTTTCAAATTCTAAAAAGGAAAATAGATTTAAAATAAAATTTTTATTTTTAAATCTAGTTAAAATGTTTGTATTGATTTAATAAAAAAATTAATTACAATATTTTCACTAAGACTCTTCTCTTCATCCATATCCTCGTCATCCTCAATAACATACATTTTCTTATTCGAAACATATTCTCCACAAACTGACTCCTTTTCCTCTTCCTTTTCTCCTTCACTGTCAGTATATTCTTCATCTTCAACATTTTCTTCTTCATCCCCTTCATAATCAGAAACATCAACATCTGTCTCTTTATCATTTTCTAATTCTTTTTTCTCCTCATTTTCTACTTCAATATTTTTAACTTCATTCTCATTTAATTGCATTCTATTTTCCTTTTTAGAGTTATTACTATTCAATTCATTATCAGATAATTCTTCCTCGCATTCCTCCTCCCCCTCATCATTTTCAGAAATTTCATTTTCTACATTGTAAAAACTAAATTTAAAAATAAAATTAAAAAAAATATTTAAAAAATAAATAAATACTTATGTCGCATTTCCAAATCTTTATGCCTCCTTTGTGCTAACCGTTTTGCTAATTCAGTTTTAAAATCAGTAGTTTCTAAAAATAAAAATTTAGAAAAATTTTAATAATTAAATTACTTTTAGTGTCAATCTTTTTATCCAATCTTGCATTTCCAAATTTATTCTTAAACCATAAAGAAGCGCCGTCCTTTGATTGAATTTTCGACATGAATAAAGTGGTAAATGTAGTTAATTAATTGAAAAAGATAAATAATTCTAAAAAAATTCTAAAAAAGTTAAAAGAAAAACAAGAAAGGAATTAAATTAAAATTTAGGAACAAACAAAACGCCAAACATTAAATAAGGACATTTGAGTACAGTTAAGTTAGGATTTTATAAATTTTTGGATAATTTGTAACTTTTTTGTATTTCCTTTTGTTTTTTAACATTTGAACTTTGTACTCATATCTATCGAGACTTTTCAAATGCCATAAAAATAAATCGAATCTGTCTAAAATCAAAAATTTGTATTCAGTAATTAGATTGCGTTACTGAATTGTCCTCCTCTGAATGTCGTTTGAGTCACAGATTTAGAGCCTGAGAAAGAATTTTTTGGATGAATCAAAGATTTTTTAAACACTTGGTGTCAATTATTAAATTATAATGGAAGGAACTCTAAACAATGTTTGTTTAAAATTTTTTTTTTAATTTATATTCCTCTCTTTTTAGCAAGTCTCTAAAACAATTTTTTCAATATTACAACATTTGGATCCATTGCCCTCTGGAAGTTTTGACTTAAATGAATTCGAGAAGACGGTTAATTTTATAATTTTTGATTTTTATTATGTCCATTTTTAAAGGTTACAAAATTTGCTAATGATTCTCAACAAATTGCTCCTGTACTTTTATTTAATTCGCCTGTTAGTGCTGACGAATGGAAAATTTTGGAACAGTTTGTTAATGCTCTTAATTTGGACTATGAAAAGCGAACAATTTTGTTAAAGAAGCGGATTGAGGTTGCTATGGATTCTTTTTTATGGTCAGAAAGGGTTAAAAAGATGGAGGGACAGATTCGACAAATTTGTGATAAAAGTTTATTTAAAGAAGCAATTTTTAATCCGGTCAATTTGGAACATTTAATTGCTGCAGATTCGAGTTTGATTTCTTTCTTTATTTTATTTTTTTTTAATTTTAGATTTATTATTCATGATTAAGACAAGTTCAAAAGAATTAAGAAAGAAGACAAGAGTTCAACAAGTTAACGACTTTAAAATGCCTGTCGGTGTTGTGCCGGATAGGGGAGGAAGGACTGAGATAATGACTCCGTTACAAAGAGAGACATTTGACCAACAGGAAAAACAAAGAGCACAACAATCTTTTCAAGGTTAAAATTTTTTTTAACCTTTTAAAATTTATTTTTTATTTTTAGAGAGACGACGAGGTGGAGGGGGTGACAGAGGAGGTGGTAGAGGTGGATGTGATAGTGGTCGTTCAGGATACTTTCCTGATGGACAGCAGCAAGAAAGTCGAGGAGGATATCAGGGAGGTAGTGGAGGATATCAAGGTCGGGGCGGGTATGGTGATTTTCGCGGTGGAAAAGGAGGGGGAGGAGGGCAAAAACGAGGACGTTATAATTAGTAATTTTGTTGTTAAATTTGCTCAATTGTTTTTTCGATTTGATATTTTACTGTTTTCTTTTTAAACAAGAAAATTGTAAATTATTTAAAAAATTATAGAATCTTTAAATTTTCAAGACTACTTTATTTTGTTAATTTATTTAAAATATTTATTTATAATGTTAGGACTATATTTTTATTATTGTTAAATGGAATAAAGTTTATCATTTTTTTCTATTAAATTCTAATTAATTTTACTAGAATCTTATTTTATATTTTTTTTATTTTCCTTTTTATATTCAATTTCCTTAAATAGATGCTATGTTATTTTCTTAGTCGTTTTATCACAAGCAGGTTTTTACTTAAATCATTTACAAATGTCTACCAAACTCAGTCAAGACTCTGTAATGTTGCTTCATCTTCAAAGCTATTGGTAACATGCAATGGAAGGATTGATAATTTAAGGAATTCATCTTCAGGTTTGCTTAAATACTTTAAAAATGAATTACTATTCTTCGATTGATTATTTTGTAAATATACTTCTCGTTTTTGTTTATTTTCAAAAAATTTTTTAGATGTTTTTCAGCATTGTGATCACATTCGAATTGATGACCTTGCAGCTGCTAAACAAATTGCAAGCAAAATTGGTCCAGCTGAGAGAGAATTATTACTTCAAATTCTAGTTAAAGAATCACCAAACTATACAGATATTCGTAACGGAGAAGAAGGTTTTTCTATTTTTAGAAATTAAAAAATTTTCCTTTAGACGGTGAATTACATATTGACCAACTCAGACAGTTATTTACTATTAATACAATCCCGTTTATTGGGTTTGGATTTCTTGATAATGCAATAATGGTTTTGGCTGGTGAATATATTGACCAATCTTTGGGAACTCTTCTTTGTATTTCAACGATGGCTGCAGCTGCTTTAGGAAATATAATTTCAGGTTAATTTTTATTTTAATAAAAATTTTCTCAAAAAACATTTATTTTTCAGATGTAGCGGGTGTTGGACTTGCTCATTATGTGGAAGGTTGTATTGTAATTGTTCTTTTAGTTGATCATTTTTATTTTTTAGTTTTTGTTACTCGGCTTGGCTTTAAAAGTCCAACTCTTACCTCTAAACAAGTTTTTTCTTTTAAATTTATCTTTTCAATTTCTATTTATAGTTGGAATCTCGTAAGGCTCGTTTAACTGTAAATCTGGCAAGAGCATTTGGTTTAATTGTTGGTTGCCTTTTGGGAATGTATTTTAAAATTTATAATTTTGTTTTTTATTTTCAATTTTAGGTTTCCTCTTCTATTTTTTAGTGAAGTGGATAAATCAAAAAGTGAAATTGTTCTCTAATATCTAATATTTTTTGAATTTTTTAAATATTGTTTATGGAGGAAATCCCAGAAATATTCTCTTAAATATTTTCGTTGTAATTTGGGATAATTCCGTAATCTGGTTATACCTATATTAAAATTTATAGTTGATTAACAAACATTTCATTATTAGTAGAAGGATTTCCACAAATAAACAATATTTGGATTTCGCGTAATTTCTATTTCATAGTTTAGTCTCCTATATCTATCGTATTAAATTAGTCCTATTTCTGGTCATCTTTAAATTGTTGCATTAATTTACGATTCTATTATACCTTCATTATAGTTATAGTCAAATTGTTTCTCAAATGCTTTAAAATATAGTACAAGTGCATTTAATATATCTATTTAATTGTAAGATTCGATTCCATGTGCAATAAGTGTCATATAATATATTTTTGAACAAAAAATATTTAATATTTTTTTAAATATTTATATTAATGGGTTTATTACCAAAATTTTTCTTTTAACGAATTTTTAAAGTAATTTTTCTTCTAGACTTTATTTTTAATTCATTGCATAATGTCAAGTGCTCCCAAGGAGAGGAAGCGTGTTGGAGAAATTCTTGAACTTGAACGAGAAATTCAAAAGCGATGGGAAGAGACTAAGGCTTTTGAAGAGGAAAGTCCTCTGGAAGAAAAGTTTTTTTTAATTTAATTTTAAAAAATAAAATAATTTTTAGGCCTCCAAAATTTATGACAACCTTCCCTTTTCCTTATATGAATGGACGATTACATTTGGGACATACATTTACGTTGGCTAAATGTGACTTTGCTGTTGGCTATTATCGTCTTAAGGGCCGTAAATGTCTTTTCCCTTTTGCTTTTCATTGTACTGGAATGCCAATTAAGGTTTTGTTAAATTTTTATTTGTAAAATTAATTTTTATTTTTAATAAAGGCCTGCGCTGACAAATTAAAGAGAGAAATGCTTATGTACGGGAATCCGCCCAATTTTTCTGAGGAAAATGATGTAGAGGAGATTGTTGGAGAAAATGGGACTGTTAACGAAAATGAACTTGATGATATTACAAGAGATAAAGCAAAGGGGAAAAAGGTTTTTTTCTAATAATTTCTTTGATTTTGTTTCTTTTTAAAGAGTAAAGCCGTGGCCAAAACTGTCGCAGCCAAATTTCAATGGCAAATAATGGAGTCGTTAGGTCTTACCAACGAAGAAATTGCAAAATTTTCTTCTGCCGAGCATTGGTTGACTTATTTTCCAGAGAAATGTGAATATGATTTGCGAAAGATGGGATTGAAGGTTTTTAATTAATTCTATATTTTATTTATTTTTAAAATAGGTTGATTGGCGTCGTTCATTTATTACAACAGACGTTAATCCTTATTTTGACTCCTTTGTGCAATGGCAGTTTTTAAAGTTAAGAGAGGCTAATAAATATATTGAATTTGGAAAAAGGTTTTCTAATTTAAAAGTCATATTTAGAGTAAAATTTACAGGTATACAATTTACTCTCCTAAAGATGGGCAGCCTTGTATGGATCATGACAGAGTGACTGGCGAGGGTGTTGGGCCTCAAGAATATACTCTTGTTAAAATTAAGGTAGTGCTATTTTGAATCTTTTCTTGATTCTAATTTTTAATTTTTCATATATAAATATTATTTTTCAGGTTCTCGATCCCAAACCAAAAGTATTTGACAGTTTACCTTCGAACATTCCAGTCTTTTTTGTTGCCGCAACTCTTCGACCTGAAACGCTATACGGCCAAACAAATTGTATATAAATTAAAGCTTGGTATATAATTTTTTTCTTTTAAGGTTTTCTTCATCCAGACTTAATTTACTCTTTCTTTTATGTTGGAAGCGATAGTTCCGAAATTTTTATTGCAACTGAACGAGCTGCTTTAAATATGTCTTTTCAAGGAATGTTACCTGTAGAAGGGGAAGTTAAATATGTAAAAGGTCTTGAAAAGGTTAAAGGGGAAACCCTTTTGGGATGTGCACTTTCTGCTCCACTCACGTCTTATGAAAAAATTTATTCATTGCCAATGATGTCAATTAAAGCGGATAAAGGTTTTTTGTTAATAACTAAAATTTCAAAATTAATTTTAAGGTACTGGTGTCGTTTTAAGTGTACCATCTGATTCGCCAGATGATTATGCTGCTTTGTGTGATTTGAAAAAGAAAAAGGCTTTACGTGAAAAATATAATATTTCTGATGAAATGGTTCTTCCCTTTGAACCCATTCCTATTTTGGATATTCCTGACCTTGGACAACTGGCTGCCGGTTTGTTCTTTTTTAATTTCAAATATATTTTTTAAATTTTTAGTTAATATTTGCCAAAAGATGGGCATAACAAGTCAAAATCATAAGGTGAAGCTAGAACAAGCCAAAAAGGAAGTCTATCTGAAAGGCTTCTACCACGGGGTTTTTTGTTACTATTTTCTAATAAAATAAAAAATATTTAGACGATGCTTGTTGGTGATTATAAAGGTGAAAAAATAGATCAAGTCAAAAAACGCATTCAAGAAGATTTAATAAGCAAAGGGTTGACTTGTAAATATGTTGAGCCTGAAAAGACTGTTGTATCTAGATCCGGAGAAGAATGTGTTGTAGCATTATGTGATCAATGGTTTTTATTTAACATTTTGTTTTTCTCTAGTTTTTTTTAAATTTTTCTAGGTATTTAAATTATGGAAATCCAGAATGGAAAGAAGCAACAAAGAAATGTTTGTCAAAAATGAATACTTACATGGAAGAGGCCCGTCATTGTTTAGAGAACACGATTGATTGGTTACATGAATATGCATGTTCTCGTATTTATGGACTTGGTATTTTATTTCATTCTTTTTTAATTTTAAATAATTTCCAGGCTCAAGATTGCCATGGGATCCTAAATATTTAATTGAATCACTTTCTGATTCAACCATTTATAATGCTTACTATACTATTGCTCATCTTCTTCAATCTGACATTTTTGGTTCTAAACCAGGTCTACTTGGATTGAAACCAGAGCAATTAAACACACATGTTTGGGATTATATTTTTATGGGTGTTGGCGAATATGATAAAAATAAAATGGGAGGAATTTCTCTTGAGGCACTAAATAAAATGCGTAGAGAATTTGAATATTGGTATCCAGTAGATATGAGTAAGTTTTTTCTTTTCTTTTCATAAATTCTTTTTTACTTTAAAAGGGGTATCAGGAAAGGATTTATTGCAAAACCATTTGACCTTTTATTTATTTAATCATGTTGCTATTTGGCGAGAGAGGCCCGAAATGTGGCCTTTAGGTATTAGAGCAAATGGACATGCTCTTCTTAATAATGAAAAGGTTTGAATGAACAAAAACTTAATTTAATTTTTTAATAGATGTCAAAAAATACCGGAAACTTTTTGACGTTATATGAAGCGATAGAAAAATTCTCTGCTGATGGAATGAGAATGGCGTTGGCAGATGCAGGAGATGGAATAGAGGATGCTAATTTTATGTTTGTTTTTATTAAAAATTCTAAGAAAATGATTTTGTATTTTTGAAGGTGTGACATGGCCGATGCTGGTTTTCTCCGTCTTTATCAATTTTTAGATTGGACTAAAATTTTATTGGGTAAAAAGGCCACTGTTCCAAAGCCTTTATTACGTTCTGGTGAAATTGAGACATTTGCAGATCGTGTATTTGACAACGAAATGAATCGATTGTAAATTTAAAAATAATTTTTCTTACAATTAATGTTTATAGAATTGAACTTACTGAGGAACATTATGAGAAGACATTTTATAAGGAAGCCCTTAAAACTGGTTTCTTTGAATTTCAGGTCGTTTTATTGAACTTTTAATTTTTTTTGTTTTTTACAGTTGGCTCGTGACAATTATCGTCAACTTTGTGGCAGTGACGAACAAATGAATGAAAAACTTATTTTGCGATTTATTGAAACACAAGCTTTAATTCTTTCACCAATATGCCCACACATTACTGAACATATTTGGTCGTTGTTGGGAAAGGTAAATTATAATAAATTAGAGATTTTTTAGTTTTAGAATGATTTAATTGTAAATTCAAAATGGCCAACAATTTCGACAGTTGATAAATTATTACTTCAACAAAGCAGTTTTGTTAATAATGCCATTAAAGAATTTCGTCAACGTAGAGATGCAAAACTTAATCCGAAAAAGAAAGACCCAAAGAAAGCATTACTTCCGCCCAAAGCTGCAACTATATATTTTACAAAGAAATATCCAGAATGGAAGGAGAAGGCAATTAATTTAATGAGAAAACTTTATGAGGTGAGAAAATTCTTTGAAGTTATAGTTGTCTTTTTGTGTCTCCTCGATTTTCCAAAGGGTTGAGGAGAATCTATTTGTCTGTTGGAGCTTTTGTGTAGTTATAAAACCATCGTTCTCTCTTGGAATTTAAAATTTCTTTTCGATATTTTGGTTATCCTATGGCCAACATAAGATAGACTTTAGGAGAGAAGCACACTTCCTACATATTCTAATACTCTTTTTAGTCAAATAACTCAACATTGCCAGACAATCGTGAAATTATGGAGCTTTTAAATACAACACAATTACCTGAAAAGAAAGAAGTAATGCCTTTTGTTCAATTTGTTCGTGAACGTGTTGCCCAAAATGGAAGTGCTGCTTTAAGTGTAGATGAAGATTTTGATCAAAAAGATGTTTTAGAACAAATTAGAGACTATTTATTGTGTACACTACAATTGGAAAAACTTGATATTGTTGATATTGCTAATGCAACAGATAATGCTAAAGAAGTTGTTGAAGTTATTAAATCATGCTCGCCTGGTTCTCCTTTAATTATCTACAATTTTGAAATGAAGTAAGACAAAAAGAATAGTTTTTTTTTTAAATAATTGAGCTTCTTATAAATATATAAATAAATACTCGTTGCAAAGAATCCCTGTTTGGTTGATATTTTTCGTGCATTTTTCTTGGATTTTTGAAATTAATTTTTTAGTTGAATTTTTCTAATTTTCTGAATATATCCAAAGATCCAAGTTTGCA